GTGAGGATAAGAGGTAAATTAAAGACTGTGTGGGGATAAGAGGTGACAGGTAAATTAAAGACTGTGTGGGGATAAGAGGTAAATTAAAGACTGTGGGGATAAGAGGTAAATTAAAGACTGTAGGGATAAGAGGTAATTAAAGACTGTAGGGATAAGAGGTAAATTAAAAGCTGTGGGGATAAGAAGTAAATTAAAGACTGTAGGGATAAGAGGTAATTAAAGACTGTAGGGATAAGAGGTAAATTAAAAACTGTGGGGATAAGAGGTAAATTAAAGACTGTAGGGATAAGAGGTAATTAAAGACTGTAGGGATAAGAGGTAATTAAAGACTGTGTGGGGACAAGAGGTATATTAAAGACTGTGTGGATAAGAGGTAAATTAAAGACTGTGTGGGGATAAGAGGTAATTAAAGAATGTTTGGGGATAAGAGGTAATTAAAGACTGTGTGGGGATAAGAGGTGAATTAAAGACTGTGTGGGGATAAGAGGTAAATTAAAGACTGTGTGGGGATAAGAGGTAATTAAAGACTGTGTGGGGGATAAGAGGTAAATTAAAGACTGTGTGGGGATAAGAGGTAAATCAAAGACTGTGGGGATAAGAGGTAAATTAAAAACCTGTGTGGGGATAAGAGGTAAATAAAAAAATGTGAGGATAAGAGGTAAATTAAAGACTGTGTGGGGATAAGAGGTGACAGGTAAATTAAAGACTGTGTGGGGATAAGAGGTAAATTAAAGACTGTGGGGATAAGAGGTGAATTAAAGACTGTGTGGGGATAAGAGGTATATTAAAGACTGTGTGGGGATAAGAGGTAAATTAAAGACTGTATGGGGATAGGAGATAAATGAAAGAATGTATGGGGATAAGAGGTGACAGGTAAATTAAAGACTGTGTGGTATAAAAGGTGACAGGTAAATTAAAGATGGTGGGATAAGAGGTAAATTAAAGACTGTGGTGATAACAGGTAAATTAAAGACTGTGTGGGGATACGAGGTAAATTAAAGACTGTGTGGGGATAACAGGTAAATTAAAAACTGCGTGGGGATAAGAGGTAAATTAAAGACTGTGTGGGGATAAGAGGTGACAAGTAAATTAAAGACTGTGTGGGGATAAGATGTAAATTAAAGACTGTGGGGATAAGAGGTGAATTAAAGACTGTGTAGGGATAAGAGGTAAATTAAAGACTGTGGGGATAAGAGGTAAATTAAAGACTGTATGGGGATAAGATATAAATGAAAGACTGTATGGGGATACGAGGTGACAGGTAAATTAAAGACTGTGTGGGGATAAAAGTTGACAGTAAATTAAAGACTGTGGGATAAGAGGTAAATTAAAGACTGTGGGGATAAGAGGTAAATTAAAGACTGTAGGGATAAGAGGTAATTAAAGACTGTGGGGATAAGAGGTAAATTAAAGACTGTATGGGGATAATAGGTAAATTAAAGACTGTGTGGGGATCAGAGGTAAATTAAAGACTGTGTGGGGATAAAAGTTGACAGTAAATTAAAGACTGTGGGATAAGAGGTAAATTAAAGACTGTGGGGATAAGAGGTAAATTAAAGACTGTAGGGATAAGAGGTAATTAAAGACTGTGGGGATAAGAGGTAAATTAAAGACTCTGTGGGGATAAGAGGTAAATGAAAGACTGTTGATAGGAGGTAAATGAAAGACTGTGTGGGTTATAAGAGGTGACAGGTAAATGAAAGACTGTGTGGGGATAAGAGGTAAATTAAAGACTGTATGGGGATAAGAGGTAAATTAAAGACTGTTAAGGGATAAGAGATACATGAAAGACTGTATGGGGATAAGAGGTGACAGGTAAATGAAAGACTGTGTGGGTATAAAAGGTGACAGGTAAATTAAAGACGGTGGGATAAGAGGTAAATTAAAGACTGTGGGGATAAGAGGTAAATTAAAGACTGTGAGGGGATAAGAGGTGACAGGTAAATTAAAGACTGTTGGGATAAGAGGTAAATTAAAGACTGTGGGGATAAGAGGTGAATTAAAGACTAGGGATAAGAGGTAATTAAAGACTGTGTGGGGATAAGAGGTATATTAAAGACTGTGTGGATAAGAGGTAAATTAAAGACTGTGTGGGGATAAGAGGTACATGAAAGACTGTGTGAGGATAAGAGGTAAATAAAAGACTGTGTGGGGATAAGAGGTAAATGAAAGACTGTTGATAAGAGGTAAATGAAAGACTGGGTGGGTTATAAGAGGTGACAGGTAAATGAAAGACTGTGTGGGGATAAGAGGTAAATGAAAGACTGTATGGGGATAAGAGGTAAATGAAAGACTGGGTGGGTTATAAGAGGTGACAGGTAAATGAAAGACTGCGTGGGGATAAGAGGTGAATTAAAGACTGTGTGGGGATAAGAGGTAAATTAAAGACTGTATGGGGATAAGAGGTGAATTAAAGACTGTGTGGGGATAAGAGGTAAAGTAAAGACTGTGTGGGGATAAGAGGTAATTAAAGACTGTTTGGGGATAAGAGGTAATTAAAGACTGTTTGGGGATAAGAGGTATATTAAAGACTGTGTGGGGATAAGAGGTAAATTAAAGATTGTGTGGGGATAAAAGGTAAATTAAAGACTGTGGGGATAAGAGGTAAATTAAAGACTGGGGATGAGAGGTAAATTAAAGACTGTGGGGATAAGAGGTAAATGAAAGACTGTATGGAGATAAGAGGTGACAGGTAAATGAAAGACTGTGTGGGGATAAGAGATAAATTAAAGACTGTGTGGGGATAAAAGGTAAATTAAAGACTGTATGGTGATAAGAGGTAATTAAAGACTGTGTGGGGATAAGAGGTAATTAAAGACTGTGGGGACAAGAGGTATATTAAAGACTGTGTGGATAAGAGGTAAATTAAAGACTGTCTGGGGTTAAGAGGTAATTAAAGACTGTGTGGGGATAAGAGGTAAATGAAAGACTGTGTGGGGATAAGAGTTAAATGAAAGAATGTGTGGGGATAAGAGGTAAATTAAAGACTTTGAGGATAAGAGTTAAATGAAAGACTGTGTGGGGATAAGAGGTGAATTAAAGACTGTGGGGATAAGAGGTAAATGAAAGACTGTGGGATAAGAGGTAAACTAAAGACTGTGGGGATAAGAGGTGACAGGTAAACTAAAGACTGTGTGGGGATAATAGGTAAATTAAAGGCTGTGGGGATAAGAGGTAAATTAAAGACTGTGTGGGGATAAGAGGTGACAAGTAAATTAAAGACTGTGTGGGGATAAGAGGTGACAAGTAAATTAAAGACTGTGCGGGGATAAGAGGTAAAGTAAAGACTGTGTGGGGATAAGAGGTAAAGTAAAGACTGTGTGGGGATAAGAGGTGACAGGTAAATTAAAGACTTTGTGGGGATAAAAGGTGACAGGTAAATTAAAGACTGTGGGATAAGAGGTAAATTAAAGATTGTGGGGATAAGAGGTAAATTAAAGACTGTATGGGGATAAGATGTGACAGGTAAACTAAAGACTGTGTGGGGATAAAAGGTGACAGGTAAATTAAAGACTGTGGGGATAAGAGGTAAATTAAAGACTGTATGGGGTTAAGAGATGGCAGGTAAATTAAAGACTGTGGGGATAAGAGGTAAATTAAAGACTGTGTAGGGATAAGAGGTAAATTAAAGACTGTATGGGGATAAAAGGTGACAGGTAAATTAAAGACTGTGGGGATAAGAGGTAAATTAAAGACTGTATGGGGATAAGATGTGACAGGTAAACTAAAGACTGTGTGGGGATAAAAGGTGACAGGTAAATTAAAGACTGTGGGGATAAGAGGTAAATTAAAGACTGTATGGGGTTAAGAGATGGCAGGTAAATTAAAGACTGTGGGGATAAGAGGTAAATTAAAGACTGTGTAGGGATAAGAGGTAAATTAAAGACTGCATGGGGATAAAAGGTGACAGGTAAATGAAAGACTGTGTAGGGATAAGAGGTGACATTTAAATTAAAAAACTGTGTGGGGATCAAAGGTGACAGGTAAATGAAAGACTGTGGGGATAAGAGGTAAACTAAAGACTGTGTGGGGATAAAAGGTGACAGGTAAATTAAAGACGGTGGGATAAGTGGTAAATTAAAGACTGTGGGATAAGAGGTAAATTAAAGACTGTGTGGGGATAAGATGTAAATTAAAGACTGTGTGGGGATAAGAGGTTAATTAAAGACTGTGTGGGGATAACAGGTGAATTAAAGACTGTATGGGGATAAGAGGTAAATGAAAGACTGTGTGGGGATAAGAGGTAATTAAAGACTGTGTGGGGATAAGAGGTAAATGAAAGACTGTGTGGGGATAAGAGGTAAATGAAAGACTGTGTGGGGATAAGAGGTAATTAAAGACTGTGGGGACAAGAGGTAAATGAAAGACTTTGTGGGGATAAGAGGTAAATGAAAGACTGTGTGGGGATAAGAGGTATATGAAAGACTGTTGATAAGAGGTACATGAAAAACTGTGTGGGGATAATAGGTGACAGGTAAACGAAAGACTGTGTGGGGATAAGATGTAAATTAAAGACTGTGTGGGGATAAGAGGTTAATTAAAGACTGTGTGGGGGAAATAGGTAAATTAAAGACTGTATGGGGATAAGAGGTGAATTAAAGACTGTATGGGGTTAAGAGGTGACAGGTAAATTAAAGACTGTGTGGGGATAAGAGGTAAATTAAAGACTGTATGGGGATAAGAGGTGAATTAAAGACTGTGTGGGGATAAGAGGTAAATTAAAGACTGTATGGGGATAAGAGGTGAATTAAAGACTGTGTGGGGATAAGATGTGACAGGTAAATTAAAGACTGTGTGGGGATAAGAGGTAAATTAAAGACTGTATGGGGATAAGAGGTGAATTAAAGACTGTGTGGGGATAAGAGGTAATTAAAGACTGTGTGGGGATAAGAGGTAATTAAAGACTGTGTGGGTTATAATAGGTGACAGGTAAATGAAAGACTGTGTGGGGATAAGAGGTAAATTAAAGACTTTGTGGGTTATAATAGGTGACAGGTAAATTAAAGACTGTGTGGGGATAAGAGGTGAATTAAGATACGAACCAGAGAATGGCATCCTCCATTATTTTTCTGACAAGGGTTGATGAGGTCACAGACTGTCCCGTCCCCCATGTAACCTCTCTTACAGGTGCACTCACTCTGAGAGGACAAGAGACAGACAGACAGACAGAGACAGACAGACAGACAGAGACAGACAGAGACAGACAGACAGACAGACAGACAGACAGACAGACAGACAGACAGACAGACAGACAGACAGACAGACAGACAGACAGACAGACAGACAGACAGACAGACAGACAGACAGACAGACAGACAGACAGACAGACAGACAGACAGAGACAGACAGAGACAGACAGACAGACAGAACAGACAGACAGACAGACAGACAGACAGAGACAGACAGACAGACAGACAGACAGACAGACAGACAGACAGACAGACAGGCAGAGACAGACAGGCAGAGACAGACAGACAGACAGACAGACAGACAGACAGACAGACAGACAGACAGACAGACAGACAGACAGACAGACAGACAGACAGACAGACAGACAGACAGACAGACAGACAGACAGACAGACAGACAGACAGACAGAGACAGACAGACAGACAGGGAGAGACAGACAGAGACAGACAGACAGACAGACAGACAGAGACAGACAGACAGAGACAGACTTTGAGGTACTAGTAGTTGTTGAAGTATGAAACGGTGGCAGGTAATACATTAGTACTAAAGCATTGTACAGTATTTGGGATAAATCATTCACTAAACCCTAAACCTGTCTAATGGAACACAGGTGGTGTTCTTTAATGGAAGCCTCCAACATAACAGAGTCAGGAATTCCCCAGGGCAGCTGTCTAGGCCCTTTACTTTTTTCAGTCTTTACTAATGACCTGCCACTGGCTTTGAGTAAAGCCAGTGTGTCTATGTATGCGGATGACTCAACACTATACACATCAGCTACTACAGCGACTGAAATGACTGCAACACTTAACAAAGAGCTGCAGTTAGTTTTAGAATAGGTGGCAAGTAATACGTTAGTACTAAAGCATTGTACAGTATTTGGGATAAATCATTCACTAAACCCTAAACCTCAACTAACTAAAAAAACAAAACTAATAAAATAATAAAAATATATTGTAATGAATAATAATAATAATAATGTGGAAATTGAGCAAGTTGAGGAGACTAAACTGCTTGGTCTAATCCTGGATAGTAAACTGTCATGGTCAAAACATATTGATACAACAGTAGCTAAGATGGGGAGAAGTCTGTCCATAATAAAGCTCTGCTCTGTCTTCTTTACAACACTATCAACAAGGCAGGTCCTACAGGCCCTAGTTTTGTCGCACCTGGACTACTGTTCAGTCATGTGGTCAGGTGCCATAAAGAGGGACCTCTGAAAATTACAATTGGCTCAGAACAGGGCAGCATGGCTGGCCCTTAGATGTACAGTCGTGGTGAAAAGTTTTGAGAATGACACAAGTATTGGTCTTCAAAGTTCGCTGCTTCAGTGTTATGAGATATTTTTGTCAGATGTTACTATGGTATACTGAAGTATAATTACAAGCATTCCATAAGTGTCAAAGGCTTTTATTGACAATTACATTAAGTTTATGCAAAGAGTCAATATTTGCAGTGTGGACCCTTCTTTTTCAAGACCTCTGCAATCCACCCTGGCATGCTGTCAATTAACTTCTGGGCCACATCCTAACTGATGGCAGCCCATTCTTGCATAATCAATGCTTGGAGTTTGTCAGAATTTGTTGGTTTTTGTTTGTCCACCCGCCTCTTGAGGATCGACCACAAGTTCTCAATGGCATTAAGGTCTGGGGAGTTTCCTGGCCATGTACCCAAAATGTCGATGTTTTGTTCCCCGAGCCACTTAGTTATCACTTTTGCCTTACGGCAAGGTGCTCCATCATGCTGGAAAAGGCATTGGTCGTCACCAAACTGTTCTTGGATGGTTGGGAGAAGTTGCTCTCGGAGGATGTGTTGGTACCATTCTTTATTCATGGCTGTGTTCTTAGGCAAAATTGTGAATGAGCCCACTCCCTTGGCTGAGAAGCAACCCCACACATGAATGGTATCAGGATGCTTTACTGTTGGCATGACACAGGACTGATGGTAGCGCTCACCTTGTCTTCTCCGGACAAGGTGTTTTCCGGATGCCCCAAACAATCGGAAAGGGGATTCATCAGAGAAAATGACTTTACCCCAGTCCTCAGCAGTCCAATTCTGTACCTTTTGCAGAATATCAGTCTGTCCCTGATGTTTTTCCTGGAGAGAAGTGGCTTCTTTGCTGCCCTTCTTGACACCAGGCCATCCTCCAAAAGTATTCGCCTCACTGTGCGTGCAGATGCACTCACACCTGCCTGCTGCCATTCCTGAGCAAGCTCTGCACTGATGGTGCCCTGATCCCGCAGCTGAATCAACTTTAGTAGACGGTCCTGGCGCTTGCTGGCCTTTTTGGGCGCCCTGACGCCTTCTTCACAACAATTGAACCTCTCTCCTTGAAGTTCTTGATGATCCAATAAATGGTTGATTTAGGTGCAATCTTACTAGCAGCAATATCCTTGCCTGTGAAGCCCTTTTTGTGCAAAGCAATGATGACGGCATGTGTTTCCTTGCAGGTAACCATGGTTAACAGAGGAAGAACAATGATTTCAAGCACCACCCTCCTTTTAAAGCTTCCAGTCTGTTATTCTAACTCAATCAGCATGACAGAGTGATCTCCAGCCTTGTCCTCGTCAACACTCTCACCTGTGTTAACGAGAGAATCACTGACATGATGGCAGCTGGTCCTTTTGTGGCAGGGCTGAAATGCAATGGAAATGTTTTTTAGGGATTAAGTTCATTTTCATGGCAAAGAGGGACTTTGCAAATAATTGCAATTCATCTGATCACTCTTCATGACATTCTGGAGTATATGCAAATTGCCATCATCAAAACTGAGGCAGCAGACATTGTGAAAATTTGTATTTGTGTCATTCTCAAAACTTTTGACCACGACTGTACACAGAGAGCTAACATTAATTATATGCATGTCAATGTCTCCTGGCTCAAAGTAGAGGAGAGATTGACTTCATCACTACTTGAGAGATATTGACATGTTGGGTGCACTGAGCTGTCTGTTTAAACTACTGGCGCACAGCTCAGTCACCCATGCATACCCCACAAGACATGCCACCAGAGGTCTCTTCACAGTCCCCAAGTCCAGAACAGACTATGGGAGGCGCACAGTAATACATAGAGCCATGACTACATGGAACTCTATTCCACATCAAGTAACTCATGCAAGCAGTAGAATCAGATTTAAAAAATATAAAAATACATCTTATGGAACAGTGGGGACTGTGAAGACACACATACACACATAAGACTCTACACACACGTACACATGGATGTTGTATTGTAGATATGTGATAGTGGAGTAGTGGAGTAGTGGCCTGAGGGAACAAACTAATTGTATTGGGCAAAGTGTTATGAAATGTAATGTCATGTAATATTTTAAATTGCATATACAGTTGAAGTCGGAAGTTTACATACACTTGGGTTGGAGTCATTAAAACTAGTTTTTCAACCACTCCACACATTTATTGTTAAGAAACTATAGTTTTGGCAAGTTGGTTAGGACATCTACTTTGTGCATGACACAAGTAATTTTTCCAACAATTGTTTACAGACAGATTATTTCACTTATAATTCACTGTATCACAATTCCAGTGGGTCAGAAGTTTACATACACTAAGTTGACTGTGCCTTTAAACAGCTTGGAGAATTCCAGAAAATTATGTCATGGCTTTAGAAGCTTCTGATAGGCTAATTGACATCATTTGAGTCAATTAGAGGTGTACCTGTGGATGTATTTCAAGGCCTACCTTCAAACTCAGTGCCTCTTTGCTTGACATCATGGGAAAATCAAAAGAAATCAGCAAAGACCTCAGAAAATACATTGTAGACCTCCACAAGTCTGGTTCATCCTTGGGAGCAATTTCCAAACGCCTGAAGGTACCACATTCATCTGTACAATCAATAGTACACAAGTATAAACACCATGGGACCACGCAGCCGTCATACCGCTCAGGAAGGAGACGCGTTCTGTCTCCTAGAGATGAACGTACTTTGGTGCGAAAAGTGCAAATCAATCCCAGAACAACAGCAAAGGACCTTGTGAAGTTGCTGGAGGAAACAGGTACAAAAGTATCTATATCCACAGTAAAACGAGTCCTATATCGACATAACCTGAAAGGCAACTCAGCAAGGAAGAAGCCACTGCTCCAAAACCGCCATAAAAAAGCCAGACTATGGTTTGCAACTGCACATGGGGACAAAGATTGTACTTTTTGGAGAAATGTCCTCTGGTCTAATTAAACTAAAATAGAACTGTTTGGCCATAATTACCATCGTTATGTTTGGAGAAAAAGGGGGGCATGCTTGCAAGCCGAAGAACACCATCCCAACCGTGAAGCACGGGGGTGGCAGCATCATGCTGTGGGGGTGCTTTGCTGCAGGAGCAAAAATTATGTGGATATATTGAAGCAACATCTCAAGACATCAGTCAGGAAGTTAAAGTTTGGTCGCAAAAGGGTCTTCCAAATGGACAATGACCCCAAGCATACTTCCAAAGTTGTGGCAAAATGGCTTAAGGACAACAAAGTCAAGGTATTGGAGTGGCCATCACAAAGCCCTGACCTCAATCCTATAGAAAAGTTGTGGGCAGAACTGAAAAAGCGTGTGCGAGCAAGGAGGCCTACAAACCTGACTCAGTTACACCAGCTCTGTCAGGAGGAATGGGCCAAAATTCACCCAACTTATTGTGGGAAGCTTGTGGAAGGCTACCCGAAACGTTTGACCCAAGTTAAACAATTTAAAGGCAATGCTACCAAATACTAATTTAGTGTATGTAAACTTCTGACCCACTGGGAATGTGATGAAATAAAACTGAAATAAAACATTCTCTACTATTATTCTAACATTTCACTTTCTTAAAATAAAGTGGTGATCCTAACTGACATAAGGCAGGGAATTTTCACTAGGATTAAATGTCAGGAATTGTGAAAAACTGTGTTTAAATGTATTTGGCTAAGGTGTATGTAAACTTCCGACTTCAACTATAACTGCCTTAATGTTGCTGGACCCTAGGAAGAGTAGCTGCTGCCTTGGCAGGAACTAATGGGGATCCATAATAAACCCCAGGAAGAGTAGCTGCTGCCTTGGCAGGAACTAATGGGGATTCATAATAAACCCCAGGAAGAGTAGCTGCTGCCTTGGCAGGAACTAATGGGGATCCATAATAAACCCCAGGAAGAGTAGCTGCTGCCTTGGGAGGAACTAATGGGGATCAATAATAAACACCAGGAAGAGTAGCTGCTGCCTTGACAGGAACTAATGGGGATCCATAATAAATACAAATACCAATGCTTCCCACAGTTGAGTCAAGTTGGCTGGATGTCATTTGGGTGGTGGACCATTCTTGATACACTTGGGAAACTGTTGAGAGTGAAAAACCCATCAAACCAGAGTGCCTGGCACCTAATACAATACGCCGTTCAAAGGCACTTCAATCTTTTGTCTTGCCCATTCACCCTCTGAATGGCACACAATCCATGTCCCAATTGTCAAAAAAAAGTGGACTTGTCTCCTCCCCTTCATCTACACTGATTGAAGTGGATGTGACATCAATAAGGGATCATAGCTTTCACCTGGATTCACCTGGTCAGTCTATGTCATGGAAAGAGTCGTTAATAGTCGTTAATATTTTGTACACTCAGTGTATATATTTGTATTTTATAGAAGCAGGAAATGAGAAGGGAGGAGATGCAGAGTAGTGGTGGGGTCAGGATTCATACCCACACTGAGGGTATGGTATACAGTGCCTTCAGAAAGTATTCATACCCCTTGACTTATTCAACATTTTGTTGTGTTACAGCCTGAATTCAAAATGGATGAAATATATGTTCTTCTGATAATTAAATGCAGAAATATCTAATTTACATAAGTATTCACACCCCTGAGTCAATATGTTAGAAGCACCTTTGGCAGCGATTACAGCTGTGAGTCTTTCTGGGTAAGTCTCTAAGAGCGTTGCTCACCTGGATTGTAAAACATTTGCACATTATTCTTTAAAACATTCTCCAAGCTCTGTCAAGTTGGTTGTTGATCATTGCTAGACAGCCATTTTCAAGTCTTGCCATAGATTTTCAAGCTGATTTAAGTCAAAACTGTAACTTGGCCACTCAGGAACATTCACTGTCTTCTTGGTAAGCAACTCCAGTGTAGATTTGGCCTTGTGTTTTAAGTTATTGTCTTGATGAAAGGTGAATTCATCTCCCAGTGTCTGTTGGAAAGCAGACTGAACCAGGTTTTCCTCTAGGATTTTGCCTGTGCTTAGCTCCATTCTGTTTCTTTTTATCCTGAAAAACTCCCCAGTCCTTAACGATTACAAGCATACCCATAACATGATGCAGCCCCCACTATGGTTCAAAATATGAAGAGTGATGTGATGTGTTGTATTGGATTTGCTCCAAACATAACACTTTTTATTCAGGACCTAAATGTAATAGCTTTGCCAAATTTTTTGCAGTATTACTTTAGTGCCTTGTTGTAAACAGGATGCGTGTTTTGGAATATTTTTATTCTGTACAGGCTTCCTTCTATTCACTCAGTCAATTAGGTTAGTATTGTGGAGTAACTACAATGCTGTTGATCCATCCTCAGTTTTCTCCTATCACAGCCATTCAAATCTGTAACTGTTTTAAAGTCACCATTGGCCTCATGGTGAAATCCCTGAGCGGTTTCCTTCCTCTCTGGCAACTGAGTTAGAAAGGACGCCTGTATCTTTGTAGTGACTGGGTATATTGATACACCATCCAAAGTGTAATTTATATCTTCACCATGCTCAAAGGGAAATTCAATGTTTTTTATTTCATTTTTACCTATCTACCAATAGGTGCCCTTCTTTGTGAGTAATTGGAAAACCTCCCTGGTCTTTGCGGTTGAATCTGTGCTTTAAATTCACTGCTCAACTGAGGGACCTTAAAGATAATTGTATGTGTGGGGTACAGAGATGAGGTTGCACACAGAGTGACTCCATGCAATTTATTATGTGACTTTTAAGATTATTTTTTTTTACTCCTGAACTTATTTAGGCTTCCCATAACAGAGGGGTTGAATACTTATTGACTCAATCAAATGTATTCATAAAGCGCTTTTTACATCAGCAGATGTGTAAAAAGTCAAGGGGTGTGAATACTTTCTGAAGACACTGTAGGTGTTGCAGGCGATGGTATTACCCGGTAGACCGGCCTCAGACTCGGTAGACCAGCCTCAGGCCCGGTAGACCAGCCTCAGGCCCGGTAGACCGGCCTCAGGCCCGGTAGACCAGCCTCAGACCCGGTAGACCAGCCTCAGACCCGGTAGACCAGCCTCAGACCCGGTAGACCAGCCTCAGGCTCTAGCAGAAATGTGTTTAGCAGCAGAAACATTCAAAACGTGAATACCTGTCCAGGGCCTAGCGACGTGCAGTCTGCATCCTTATGGCAGCCGCCTCTGGGCTCCAGGAGACAGTTGTCCACCTCAGTACAGACAAGGCCGTCTCCTGTCCAGCCCTCGTTACAAACACACGACACGTTAGCTGGCCCCGAGTACACACACTGGGCCTGAGGAGAGGGATAACACACTGGACCTCAGAGGGATATAATAACACACCGATACGGTTAACGTCCATTAACTATGCCCAAAACCCGATTGAGAGATTCCCGGAATCAGGAGGGACTAAACAGGAAATCCACCCTGGGCCTTGGTAAAAAGTAGTGCACTAAATAGGGCATAGGGTGCCATCTGGGTTGGGTAGGGTTAGGGTTAGGGTTGGGGTTGGGGTTGGGTTGGGGTTAGGGTTGGGTTAGGGTTGGGGTTGGGTTAGGGTTGGGGTTGGGTTAGGGTTGGGGGTCCTGAGTCTTACGTTAGCGTCACAGCCTCCTCTGTCGGCCTTCAGGCAGGGGTTGGTCAGGGTGCAGGAGTGTCCATCTCCTTCATACCCCGACATACACACACACCTGTTACACACAGGGACACACACACACACACCTGTTACACACAGGGACACACACACACCTGTTACACACAGGGACACACACACACACACACACACACCTGTTACACACAGGGACACACACACACACACACACACCTGTTACACACAGGGACACACACACACACACCTGTTACACACAGGGACACACACACACACACACACACCTGTTACACACAGGGACACACACACACACACACACACCTGTTACACACAGGGACACACACACACACACACACACACCTGTTACACACAGGGACACACACACACACACCTGTTACACACAGGGACACACACACAGACAGGGACACACAACTGCTACAGACAAGGACACACACACACACACACACACACACACACATCACACACACATACACACAGACACACACACACAGACACACACACACACACACACACAGACACACACACACACACACACACACACACACACACACACACACACACACACACACACACACACACACACACACACACACACACACACACACACACACACACACACACACACACCTGCTACAGACAGGGACACACACACACCTGTTACACAGGGACACACACACTAGTAATGGGGGAAAACATCTATAAAGTTACATAACTAACTGAGGCCCTTTAAAGGGAGGCCCTTTAGAGCACTGACTGAGGCCCTTTAGAGCACTGACTGAGACCCTTTAGAGCACTGACTGAGGCCCTTTAGAGCACTGACTGAGACCCTTTAGAGCACTGACTGAGGCCCTTTAGAGCACTGACTGAGGCCCTTTAGAGCACTGACTGAGGCCCTTTAGAGCACTGACTGAGACCCTTTAGAGCACTGACTGAGGCCCTTTAGAGCACTGACTGAGGCCCTTTAGAGGGAGGCCCTTTAGAGTACTGACTGAGACCCTTTGCTCCATTAGCAATAAGTAAGCTAAGTAAGTAATACTGACATGGTGTGGCTGCCGATGTAGCTGCAGAAGGCGTGGACATGGCAGTGCTCAGAGAGTCCATCAGAGTTACAGGCCTTAGCCTCCTTATCACAGTAGTCTCCAGAGTAACCCTCCAGGCAGGATCCCCCTCTACACACGCCCTTACTGCCTGGCCGGTTATCACACACGCCATGGAGACAGCGGCAGTCTGGGGAGGAGAGGGGGAGGGGGGTGGGAGAGGGATGGAGGGACAAAGGGAGGAAAGAGGGGAGACAGAGAGAGGGGGGAGGGGGGGAGAAAGAGGAGAAAGAAGATAAGAACCCCTAAGTCAGGTCTGATTTTCCTTTAGTTTTTATCAAGGAGAAAAATCTGAAATGACTCCTTCAATGGTGCACTTCATCTGGGCATCCGTACAGACCACGTGGGGAATGAGATACAGCAGGCCTGGATCAATAATACATGGTGCGTCCCAAATGGCACCCTATTCCCTATATAGTGCACTACTTTAGACCAGAACCCTTATGGGCCATGGTCAAAAGTAGTGCACACTATAAGGAATAGGGTGCCATTTGGGACATATCATTAGTTGAGAAGTGTTGAAGAGTAATTTAGACCCACCCTGGTCACACCTCTCTCCGTGTTTGTTGGGATCGGAACAGATGTGACAGGCGATCCCCTTGAAGCCCTCCTCGCAGCTACACGACCCATTACCATGGATACCATCAAAACACTACACACACACACACAGAAAGGTCACAGGTCAAAGACACGGAGACAGGACGTGGTGATGGTTAAAATGGTGTGCGTTTCAAGTTCCAAAGTTAATTTGCCACGTGCACAGGATACAACAGGTGTAAAACCATACAGTGAAATTATTTTCTTGAGCTCTTTCCCACATTGCAGTGGTGATCATTATATAATAATAATAATAATAATAATAATCATACAACTAATAATATTGATCATAATATTGATAATAATATAAATAATAATATAAATAATAATAATATAGATAATAATCATAATAATATAGATAAGAACAGAAATAATATAAATAATAATAATATAGATATAATAATATAGATAATACAACTAATAATATTGATAATAATATTGATAATATACATAATATAAATAATATAGATAAGAACAGAAATAATATAAATAGTAATAATAATAATAATAATAATAATAATAATAATAATAATATATTTAATAAAAAAACACACGAAGTGAAGAAACACGAGCAAGTATATACAGGTCAGTGCCAGTACCTTATTCAATGTGCAGGGGTACTGGAGTGGTTGAGGTGGGTTTATACATAAAAAGTGACTGGTAGTAGGATATATATATATTTTATATAATATAAATACTTATGCTAATAAACTAATGATAATATACACACTGAGTATACCAAACATTAAGAACACCTTTCTAATATTGAGTTGCACCTCCCCTTTTGCCCTCAGAACAGCCTCGTCGGGGCATGGACTCTACAAGGTATCGAAAGCATTCCACAGGGATGCTGGTCAATGTTGACTCCAATGCTTCCCACAGTGGTGTCAAGTTGGCTGGATGCCCTTTGGGTGATGGACCATTCTTGATACACACAGGAAACTGTTGAGCGTGAAAAACCCAGCAGTGTTGCAGTTCTTGACACAAACCAGTGCGCCTTAAATCTTTTGTCTTGCCCATTCACACTCTGAATGGCACACATACACAATCCATATCTCAAAGCTTAAAAATCCTTCTTTAACCTGTCTCCTCCCCTTCATCTACACTGATTGAAGTGGATTGGGTGACATCAATAAGGGATCATATCTTTCAACTGGATTCACCTGGTCAGTCTATGTCATGGAAAAAGCAGGTGTTCATAATGTTTTGTACACGCAGTGTATACAGAGGTCTCGTTAACGCATGAAAACTCTCGGGAGGTAGAAGGCTTGGCATTTGACCATCAGGTGTTCCAAGACGGGTGAATAATCGGTGGAGACTTCCACTCTAGATCTCTAGATACAGTGGGGAGATAAAATAAAATAAAACGTTTGCAATTACAGAGATCATACGTGTCCTGTAGGTCTTGACCAGGTTTGCACACACTGCAGCAGGGATTTTGGCCCACTCCTCCATAGAGACCTTCTCCAGATCCTTCAAGTTTCGGGGCTGCCAGCCACGACCCATCTTCAATCTCTTACTGAGGGAAGGAGGTTGTTGGCCAACATCTCGCGATACATGGCCAGTCATCCTGTCCCCTTTGCAGAAAAGCATCCCCAAATAATGATGTTTCCACCTCCATGCTTCACGGTTGGGATGGTGTTCTTGGGGTTGTACTCATCCTTCTTCTTCCTCCAAACACGGCGAGTGGAGTTTAGACCAAAAAGCTCAATTTTTGTCTCATCAGACCACATGACCTTCTCCCATTCCTCCTCTGGATCATCCAGATGGTCATTGGCAAACTTCAGACGGGCCTGGACATGCGCTGGCTTGAGCAGGGGGACCTTGCGTGCGCTGCAGGATTTTAATCCATGACGGCGTAGTGTGTTACTAATGGTTTTCTTTGAGACTGTGGTCCCAGCTCTCTTCAGTTCATTGACCAGGTCCTGCCGAGTAGTTCTGGGCTGATCCCTCACCTTCCTCATGATCGTTGATGCCCCATGAGGTGAGATCTTGCATGGAGCCCCAGACCGACGGTGATTGACCGTCATCTTGAATTTCTTCAATTTTCGAATAATTGCGCCAACAGTTGTTGCCTTCTCACCAAGCTGCTTGCCTATTGTCCTATAGCCCATCCCAGCCTTGTGCAGGTCTACAATTTTATCCCTGATGTCCTTACACAGCTCTCTGGTCTTGGCCATTGTGGAGAGGTTGGAGTCTGTTTGATTGAGTGTGTGGACAGGTGTATTTTATACAGGTAATGAGTTCAAACAGGTGCAGTTAATACAGGTAATGAGTGGAGAACAGGAGGGCTTCGTAAAGAAAAACGAACAGGTCTGTGAGAGCCGGAATTCTTACTGGTTGGTAGGTGATCAAATATTTAAGTCATGCAATAAAATGCAAATAACTTAAAAATCATACAATGTGATTTTCTGGATTTATGTTTTAGATTCCGTCTCTCACAGTTGAAGTGTACCTATGATAGAAATTACAGACCTCTAAATGCTTTTTAAGTAGGAAAACCTGCAAAATCGGCAGTGTATCAAATACTTGTTCTCCCCACTGTATACTAAACTATACTATGCTATAGATATTATCTACTGTGCTAGAGTCAGCACACCAGTTATTGTTGATGAAGAGACATACCCCTCCCCCTCTGGATTTCAAATCCAAATCAAATACAATTTTTTTGTCACATGCTTCGTAAACAACAAGTGTAGGCTAACAGTGAAATTCTTACTTACGGGTCCTTTTCCAACAATGCAGAGTTCAAGATAAGATCATTATAATAGAAAATAGTTACACAAGGAATAAATACACAGTGAATAACGAATGTCCCTGAATCCAATGTCCTGTCCTGCTCGGTGAATGGAGAATCCATCGAGTTGGATAGCCATGGAGGGGGTATCTTGTCCAAAAGTAACGTTTCAGCAAAACACTGAGAATATTGCAGTTCCGAGAGTCCCGTTGATAGCATATCCGCGATCGGAGGTCATCCATCTTATTGTCAAGTGACTGGGAAACTAGAATGGACGGGAGTGGTTTTCCCTTCGCTTTAGTCTCACCAGGACGCCCGCTCTCCTGCCTCTTTTTCACCGGCGTTTCCTCTTGGGTAGCCCGAAGATTGGGTCGGAGGTACACAAAGAGCCCAGGGCGGATGAGTCGAAGTCGAAGCCAGAATTGAGGTTAGTAACTGCCGATCTGATGTTCAAAAGTTATTGTAGATCATAAGAAATGACAGCGGATACATTGAAGATCAAGCCAAAATAATCACAAAATAGCAAAGTTGGGTCGGCCAAACAGTATGGCGCCATCTTGTGTGTGTGTATGTGTGTGTGTGTATCAGACTGCTGAGAGAACGACTTTCTAGGAAGAGAGAGTCTTTACTTACGGTGCCTTTGCCATAACAGGGTGTCTGGAAACCTCCAATACACGTTTTACACTCAGGTCCATAGAACCCACTGCAGCACTCCGCTCTCTGAAACTCACCAACAACAAATCACTCACTGAGACTGCAGGGTCCCAAATGTACCCTATTCCCTGTGTAGTGCTAGGGCCCATAGGGCTCTGGTCAAAAGTAGTGCACTATGTAGAGAATAGGGTGCCATTTGGTCCGCAAGTCTGTTGTCATCCAAACCCACGTTAACATAGCAAGTCTGTTGTCATCCAAAACCACGTTAACATAGCAAGTCTGTTGTCATCCAAAACCACGTTAACATAGCAAGTCTGTTGTCATCCAAAACCACGTTAACATAGCAAGTCTGTTGTCATCCAAACCCACGTTAACATAGCAAGTCTGTTGTCATCCAAAACCACGTTAACATAGCAAGTCTGTTGTCATCCAAACCCACGTTAACATAGCAAGTCTGTTGTCATCCAAAACCCATGTTAACATAGCAAGTCTGTTGTCATCCAAACCCACGTTAACATAGCAAGTCTGTTGTCATTCAAAACCACGTTAACATAGCAAGTCTGTTGTCATCCAAACCCACGTTAACATAGCAAGTCTGTTGTCATCCAAAACCACGTTAACATAGCAAGTCTGTTGTCATCCAAAACCACGTTAACATAATGAATTAATCTCTTTCTTTACTTTCTTCTTCAGTAAGAAGATATAGACATTTCATTCTCTCTCTACATGATGAATGAAAAAGATACAGGAAATGAACCAAGAGCTGAACCAGGAAATGAACCAAGCGCTGAACCAGGAAATGAACCAAGCGCTGAACCAGGAAATGAACCAAGCGCTGAACCAGGAAATGAACCAAGCGCTGAACCAGGAAATGAACCAAGCGCTGAACCAGGAAATGAACCAGGTAAATGAACCAGGAGGACCTACCTCAATAGTAGTGTTGCAGTATTTAGCACAGCCTTTATTGTGCGTGGGGTTGAGAGGAGATGTCTGATAGTCACAGTCCTTCATGTGACTTTGCTGTGGTACAGAAACACAACAATAAGTACAGTATCTTATTAACAACAGAACAGGGTCGTTACCTTACAGGGTCATTACCCTTACAGGGTCGTTACCTTACAGGGTCGTTACCTTACAGGGTCGTTACCTTACAGGGTCGCTACCTTACAGGGTCGTTACCTTACAGGGTCGTTACCTTACAGGGTCGTTACCTTACAGGGTCGCTACCTTACAGGGTCGTTACCTTACAGGGTCGTTACCTTACAGGGTCGTTACAGGGTCGTTACCTTACAGGGTCGTTACCTTACAGGGTCGCTACCTTACAGGGTCGCTACCTTACAGGGTCGTTACCTTACAGGGTCGTTACCTTACAGGGTCGTTACCTTACAGGGTCGTTATCGTTACCAACAGGGTCGTTACCTTACAGGGTCGTTCCCTTACAGGGTCGTTACCTTACAGGGTCGTTACCTTACAGGGTCGCTACCTTACAGGGTCGTTACCTTACAGGGTCGTTCCCTTACAGGGTCGTTACCAACAGGGTCGTTACCTTACAGGGTCGTTACCTTACAGGGCCGTTATCGTTACCAACAGGGTCGTTACCAACAGGGTCGTTACCTTACAGGGTCGTTACCTTACAGGGTCGTTACCTTACAGGGTCGCTACCTTACAGGGTCGTTACCTTACAGGGTCGTTACCTTACAGGGTCGTTACCTAACAGGGTCGTTACCTTACAGGGTCGTTACCTTACAGGGTCGCTACCTTACAGGGTCGTTATCGTTACCTTACAGGGTCGCTACCTTAAAGGGTCGTTATCGTTACCTTACAGGGTCGTTACCTTACAGGGTCGTTACCTTACAGGGTCGTTCCCTTACAGGGTCGTTACCTTACAGGGTCGTTACCTTACAGGGTCGTTACCAACAGGGTCGCTACCTTACAGGGTCGTTACCTTACAGGATCGTTACCAACAGGGTCGCTACCTTACAGGGTCGTTACCTTACAGGGTCGTTACCAACAGGGTCGCTACCTTACAGGGTCGTTACCTTACAGGGTCGTTACCTTACAGGGTCGTTACCTTACAGGGTCGTTACCAACAGGGTCGTTACCTTACAGGGTCGTTACCAACAGGGTCATTACCTTACAGGGTTGTTACCTTACAGGGTCATTACCAACAGGGTCGTTACCTTACAGGGTCGTTACCTTACAGGGTCGTTACCTTACAGGGTCGCTACCTTACAGGGTCGCTACCTTACAGGGTCGCTACCTTACAGGGTCGTTACCTTACAGGGTCGTTACCTTACAGGGTCGTTACAGTGTCGTTACCTTACAGGGTCGCAACCAACAGAACCAATATAAATAGTTGTATCCTGTGCATGCATAGGACATATAAACGTTTGATTTGAGTGTAGACAAAATCATTAGAAATATGTGTAATTGTTTATGAAGCTGGTCTTTTTGAAAGTAGTATGAACTACTTAATAATACAGGCCATGGGATGAATAGAGACATGGACACACATTCCAAAAGATGTAGCAGAAGCTAAATATATTTTCACTGCATCAGGGATAGCAGGCACAGACATTTAACAGCCAGCCACCTTCATGAGAGGAATAGAAAACATTGCTGTGAATATTTTACCAGTTCTACGCTTCCCTCGGGGCAGTGGGACTCATAGAGGTAGCTGCACCTCACGCACGGGCCCTGGAGAACACACACAACCACATCACACAGCCATTTCCAATAGAATAGAACAGAATCAAATAGAACAGAACGTTTCCACCTACCACGATGATTTTGCTCTCTGTGACATCACATCTCTTAGGCAGGATGGGGACGATCGAGGGCGGGACTAGAACCCCGTCGATCATATGGATGACACCATTGGATGCCATAATATTAGTACTCTGAAGAGGTTTCCCGCCCAGCAGCACCTGCCCCTGTCAGACACAGAGTCATACCAATGGAGACGTCCTTAAAAGGGGAAGTTCAGAATTTTAAAACTAAAATGTTAGATGGTCACTCACCCTGAAAGGGGTCTATGCATCTAGCATTAAGTTATAAAATAGTGACCCTCGCCTTTAACAAATTCCAATTGAATTACTGCAATGGTTTATAAATAAATAGAGAAAATGACAATTCAAGTAAACAGTCCAGTATAGAACACTGAGTCATGATCAATTTGATAAACTGATCCTTTAGATCAACCGATCCTTTAGATCAACCGATCCTTTAGATCAACCGATCCTTTAGATTCAAAACTGTTTTACAGAAAAGACCCAGGGTGTGTCCCAATCGGCGCTCTATTTCTTATACAGTGAGGGAAAAAAGTATTTGATCCCCTGCTGATTTTGTACGTTTGCCCACTGACAAAGACATGATCAGTCTACAATTTTAATGGTGTTTTAAGGAACACCTGGGATAGGATAAAGTAATCCTTCTAACCCCCCACTTACCCCACCCCACCCCCCCAAAAAATAAATAAAAATAATAAAAATAATAATAATAATAATTGTAAAGTGGTTGTCCCACTGGCTATAAGGTGAATGCACCAATTTGTAAGTCGCTCTGGATAAGAGTGTCTGCTAAATGACGTAAAATGTTAAAATGTAAACAGTGAGAGACAGAATAACAACAAAAAAATCCAGAAAAACGCATGTCAAAAATGTTATAAATTGATTTGCATTTTAATGAGGGAAATAAGTATTTGACCCCTCTGCAAAACATTACTTAGTACTTGGTGGCAAAACCCTTGTTGGCAATCACAGAGGTCAGATGTTTCTTGTAGTTGGCCACCAGGTTTGCACACATCTCAGGAGGGATTTTGTTCCACTCCTCTTTGCAGATCTTCTCCAAGTCATTAAGGTTTCGAGGCTGACTTTTGGCAACTCGAACCCTGAGCTCCCTCCACAGATTTTCTATGGGATTAAGGTCTGGAGACTGGCTAGGCCACTCCAGGACCTTAATGTGCCTCTTCTTGAGCCACTCCTTTGTTGCCTTGGCCATGTGTTTTGGGTCATTGTCATGCTGGAATACCCATCCACGACCAATTTTCAATGCCCTGGCTGAGGGAAGAAGGTTCTCACCCAAGATTTGACGGTACATGGCCCCATCCATCGTCCCTTTGATGCGGTGAAGTTGTCCTGTCCCCTTAGCAGAAAAACACCCCCAAAGCATAATGTTTCCACCTCCATGTTTGACGGTGGGGATGGTATTCTTAGGGTCATAGGCAGCATTCCTCCTCCTCCAAACACGGCGAGTTGAGTTGATGCCAAAGAGCTCGATTTTGGTCTCATCTGACCACAACACTTTCACCCAGTTCTCCTCTGAATCATTCAGATGTTCATTGGCAAACTTCAGACGGGCCTGTATATGTGCTTTCTTGAGCAGAGGGACCTTGCGGGCGCTGCAGGATTTCAGTCCTTCACGGCGTAGTGTGTTACCAATTGTTTTCTTGGTGACTATGGTCCCAGCTGCCTTGAGATCATTGACAAGATCCTCCCGTGTAGTTCTGGGCTAATTCCTCACCGTTCTCATGATCATTGCAACTCCACGAGGTGAGATCTTGCATGGAGCCCTAGGCCGAGGGAGATTGACAGTACTTTTGTGTTTCTTCCATTTGTGAATAATCGCACCAACTGTTGTCACCTTCTCACCAAGCTGCTTGGCGATGGTCTTGTAGCCCATTCCAGCCTTGTGTAGGTCTACAATCTTGTCCCTGACATCCTTGGAGAGCTCTTTGGTCGTGGCCATGGTGGAGAGTTTGGAATCTGATTGATTGATTGCTTCTGTGGACAGGTGTCTTTTATACAGGTAACAAACTGAGATTAGGAGCACTCCCTTTAAGAGTGTGCTCCTAATCTCAGCTCGTTACCTGTATAAAAGACACATGGGAGCCAGAAATCTTTCTGATTGAGAGGGGGTCAAATACTTATTTCCCTCATTAAAATGCAAATCAATTTCTAACATTTTTGACATGCGTTTTCTGGATTTTTTTGTTGTTATTCTGTCTCTCACTGTTCAAATACTATAGACTGATCATTTCTTTGTCAGTGGGCAAATGTATAAAATCAGCAGGGGATCAAATACTTTTTTCCCTCACTGCAGTGCACTACTTTTGACCAGGGCCCTGTGGGGAATAGGGTTTAGGGTGTCATTTGGGAAGCGGCCCCAGTCAGTAATAACCCAACTTACATCGTTGGTGAGGTTGACCAGTAGGATCTGATTGGCCATGGTCTGAATCAGCCCCATGCTTGCCAGCTGGTCCACGGTCAACTACAGAGATAGAATAAAGAATTAATAGCTGTGCTCCACTCGGTAATTCCTAATCAAAAGTCTTTAGGTGCAGGGTTCCAAAGGCAGATAAACTGGGAAACTAAACCAGCGCTCACTGTAGCAGGATGTAGCAGTGTTTAGGATGTCATGGTGTTTAGCAGTAGCAGAGAGTTTTTTAAACTGACACGTTTCGGCGACAAGCATTAGAGTTTGAAACATGTCTGTTTGAGTGAAGCCCATTTAAAAAAGGAACTCAGCAAGATGACCTCGTCAACAACCACAACAACATCATTCGCTTTTGTACAATTTTGTACAGTGGTTTTCTACGTCGGAGACCGGGGTTCGATCCCACCTATAACATAAGCCCTTGTAACATGTTGTAAAGTGGTTTTCCACGCTGGAGACCGGGGTTCAGATCCCACCTGTAACATGTTGTAAAGTGGTTTTCCACGCCGGAGACCATGTTTCAGATCCCACCTGTAACATACAGTGCCTTGCAAAAGTACTCATCCCCCTTGGCGTTTTTCCTATTTTTGGATTTCATGTAATGTACATACACAAAATAGTCCAAATTGGTGAAGTGAAATGAAAAAAATAACTTGTTTACATTTTTTATAAAAAATAAATAATGGAAAAGTGGTGCGTGCATATGTATTCACCCACTTTGCTATGAAGCCCCTAAATAAGATCTGGTGCAACCAATTACCTTCAGAAGTCACATAATTAGTTAAAGTCCACCTGTGTGCAATCTAAGTGTTACATGATCTGTCACATGATCTCAGTATATATACACCTGTTCTGAAAGGCCCCAGAGTCTGCAACACCACTAAGCAAGCGGCACCATGAAGACCAAGGAGCTCTCCAAACAGGTCAGGGACAAAGTTGTGGAGAAGTACAGATCAGGGTTGGGTTATAAAAAGAGATCAGAAACTTTGAACATCCCACAGAGCACCATTAAATCCATTATTAAAAAATTGAAAGAATATGGCACCACAGCAAACCTGCCAAGAGAGGGCTGCCCACCAAAACTCATGGACCAGGCAAGGAGGGCATTAATCAGAGAGGCAACAAAGACACCAAAGATAACCCTGAAGGAGCTGCAAAGCTCCACAGCGGAGATTGGAGTATCTGTCCATAGGACCATTTTAAGCCGTACACTCCACAGAGCTGGGCTTTACAGAAGAGTGGCCAGAAAAAAGCCATTGCTGAAATAAAAAAATAAGCAAACACGTTTGGTGTTCGCCAGAAGGCATGTGGGAGACTCCCCAAACATATGGAAGAAGGTAATCTGTTCAGATGAGACTAAAATTGAGCTTTTTGGCCATCAAGGAAAACGCTATGTCTGGTACAAACCCAACACCTCTCATCACCCCGAGAACACCATCCTCACAGTGAAGCATGGTGGTGGCAGCATCATGCTGTGGGGATGTTTTTCCATCGGCAGGGACTGGGAAACTGGTCAGAATTGAAAGAATGTTGGATGGCGCTAAATACAGGGAAATTCTTGAGGGAAACCTGTTTCAGTCTTCCAGAGATTTGAGACTGGGACGGAGGTTCAGCTTCCAGCAGGACAATGACCCTAAGCAGTGGCGGCTCCTGAAAAAATTCTCAGGAGGGGCAATTTTTCTGATGATTTAGGTGACCTACACACATTTTAAAAAAGATATGTCCAGCAACAACATGAAGACAGGTGCAGCATATAAGTCAATACCAGAAGCATTTATTGACTGATCTGGGGAGATGGATTCCAGTTTCTGTGACAGATTATAAATAATCTCTGATGCCTTTGTTATATTAGCTTTTGGTTGAATGTACTGTCGTAGTAAATATATAATGTTATAGCTTGGTCTGACTAAAATCTTGTGCATGACCCATTTTGTGTTGGGCGTTTGTTTTCAATCAATGCTGTTCCTATCCTATAACAATGGACAAAAGAGTCCTATCTTGTCAGCCTTGTCAGCAGGTGGCCAAGGACAACACCCACGCCATAGGTCTCTCAGTTCTTCCAACTCACGAGTTCTTGCTCTGAGGACACACACACACACACACACACACACACATCATCACTGATAACACACACACACACACACACATCATCACTGCTAAACACACACACACACACACACAAAAATCCCCTCTCTTTAGGCTGAACATTTGAAGACAGAGAACCCGACTCAGAGCCAATGCAACAGTGGAGGGGACCTCGCCCAACTCATCAGGACCAATCAGAAGATCAGAACTACTAGATTCAACCTACATCATTTATTGTATAAAATGTCTGCACACAATGTTTTCGGGGCTCTCTTCAGATAGCTCCCTAAGAGTTTGACGAACGAGTCCGTGCACGCGATTCCAGATATCTTTACCTCTGAATAAACTGCCTTTATTATACCATATCCACCCTGTCCAAAGTCTCTACTTGGTCTCAGTTCTCCAGTAAACTTGTGATTATCAACAGTACACAACGGTAACAAACAATTGGGGGAACTCACGGGGCAGATAGTAAGGTCGCAGTGACACAGAAAGCAGTTCAATGTCGCGGGTACAGAGTCGCTCTCTTACCAGGATCGATTTTCCCTGTGACTGTGTCAGATCGCGGTCCGCTCTGACCAGGGTGAAGCCGGCCGGCTCCACTTCTCTGTCCGGGACTCTGTCATCCAGCCAAGTCTCCCAGCTGTATTGGATTCCGCTGCCAGCAGCGTTTTCATTATTTAGTCCGTTCGTAGCGGGTATGTACACGATCAACAAGATCAGTCCAAAACCCACCACGGGAAATCCATGGTTGGCAGAATGTTTGTAAACTAAGTGTACAAATTAAAAACATAAAATAACGCCACTAAGTGTACAAAATAAAAACATAAGATAACGCCACACTGCAGGTCGCAACAGAGACGCTGCTAGCCGCTATTTTCTTAGTTACGTTCATGGTTACGTCACGTATTTCGAAAGCGCGTAAGTGCAAGCCCACAGACACCCATAGAGATTGTATTGAAAGCTTTGAAATTTGAAAAAAATATATTTTACATGACAGGCTATGAGAGACTTCTGGGCGATTTGAAGCACGACTTTAGCCTGATTTGACATTTAGTGGCAGTCAGATCAGATTAGAACACTGATAACTACTGTTGCCGTGATATAATTGATTAGAAAAAAAATCCCTTCCTTTTCCCGTTTGGCAGTGCGTCGCCCATATCGCCCTATTGAACAGGCCGTCCCTGACCCTAAGCATACTGCTAAAGCAACACTCGAGTGGTTTAAGGGGAAACATTTAAATGTCTTGGAATGGCCTAGTCAAAGCCCAGACCTCAATCCAATTGAGAATCTGTGGTATGACTTAAAGATTGCTGTACACTAGTGGAACCCATCCAAATCGAAGGAGCTGGAGAAGTTTTGTCTTGAAGAATGGGCAAAAATCCCAGTGGCTAGATGTGCCAAGCTTATAGAGACATATCCCAAGAGACTTGCAGCTGTAATTGCTACAAAAGGTGGCTCTACAAAGTATTGACTTTGGGAGGGTGAATAGTTATGCACGCTCAAGTATTCTGTTTTTTTGTCTTATTTCTTGTTTGTTTCACAAGACAAATTTTTTTGCATCTTCAAAGTGGTAGGCATGTTGTGTAAATCAAATGATACAAACCCCCCAAAAAATCTAATTTTAATTCCAGGTTGTAAGGCAACAAAATAGGAAAAATGCCAAGGGGGGTGAATACTTTCGCAAGCCACTGTAAGCTCTTGTAACGTGTTGTAAAGGTGCTAACCACAGCCTGGCAGTACAGAAGGTGCAGTACAGAAGGTGCAGTACAGAAGGTGCAGTACAGAAGGTGCAGTACAGAAGGTGCAGTACAGAAGGTGCAGTACAGAAGGTGCAGTACAGAAGGTGCAGTACAGAAGGTGCAGTACAGAAGGTGCAGTACAGAAGGTGCAGTACAGAAGGTGCAGTACAGAAGGTGCTGTACAGAAGATGCTTACCGCAGCCTGTGTGTAGATATGCTGTTTCAGCAGCTCTTGAAGCTTGCTCTGGGCCTTCAGTGGGAGAGAAGAGAGTTCTATATTGAACAGTTTTGCAATTATCTTTTACACTGGGAATACTGTACGGTCAAGGATTCTCTAGCATTCACATCACTGCCATTTCCCTTTACAAACTATTTCTGAATTACATTAAACTGCTTTTAAATGACACCATATTGCCTTTATATTGTACAACTTTTGAAAATAATAACATCTATAGTAAATGATACAGCATCTATAGTAAATGATACAGCATCTATAGTAAATGATACAGCATCTGTAGTAAATGATATAGCATCTATAGTAAATGATACAGCATCTATAGTAAATGATACAGCATCTATAGTAAATGATACAGCATCTATAGTAAATGATACAGCATCTATAGTAAATGATACAGCATCTGTAGTAAATGATACAGCATCTATAGTAAATGATACAGCATCTGTAGTAAATTTACATTTACATTACATTTTAGTCATTTAGCAGACGCTCTTATCCAGAGCGACTTACAGGAGCAATTAGGGTTAAGTGCCTTGCTCAAGGGCACATTTACGTCATTTAGCAGACGCTCTTATCCAGAGCGACTACAAATTGGTGCATTCACCCTATAGCCAGTGGGATAACCACTTTACAATTATACTTTCTTTTTTTTTTTGGGGGGGGGGGGGGAAGAATGATTACTTTATCCTATCCCAGGTGTTCCTTAAAGAGGAACATGATAAATGATAAAGAGGTAAATGATACAGCATCTATAATAGATGATACAGCATCTATAGTAAATGATACAGCATCTATAGTAGATGATACAGCATCTATAATAGATGATACAGCATCTATAGTAAATGATATAGCCTCTATAGTAAATGATACAGCATCTATAGTAGATGATACAGCATCTATAGTAAATGATACAGCATCTATAGTAAATGATACAGCATCTATAGTAAATGATATAGCATCTATAGTAAATGATATAGCATCTATAGTAAATGATATAGCATCTATAGTAAATGATACAGCATCTATAGTAAATGATATAGCATCTATAGTAAATGATACAGCATCTATATTAGTAGTAAATGATACAGCATCTATAGTAAATGATATAGCATCTATAGTAAATGATACAGCATCTATATTAGTAGTAAATGATACAGCATCTATAGTAAATGATATAGCATCTATAGTAAATGATATAGCATCTATAGTAAATGATACAGCATCTATAGTAAATGATACAGCATCTATAGTAAATGATATAGCATCTATATTAGTAGTAAATGATACAGCATCTATAGTAAATGATATAGCATCTATATTAGTAGTAAATGATACAGCATCTATAGTAAATGATATAGCATCTATATTAGTAGTAAATGATACAGCATCTATAGTAGATGATACAGCATCTATAGTAAATGATACAGCATCTATAGTAAATGATACAGCATCTATAGTAGATGATATAGCATCTATATTAGTAGTAAATGATACAGCATCTATAATAGATGATACAGCATCTATAGTAAATGATATAGCATCTATATTAGTAGTAAATGATACAGCATCTATAGTAAATGATATAGCATCTATATTAGTAGTAAATTATACAGCATCTATAGTAGATGATACAGCATCTATAGTAAATGATACAGCATCTATAGTAAATGATACAGCATCTATAGTAAATGATACAGCATCTATAGTAAATGATACAGCATCTATAGTAAATGATACAGCATCTATAATAGATGATACAGCATCTATAGTAAATGATAGAGCATCTATAGTAAATGATACAGCATCTATAGTAAATGATAGAGCATCTATAGTAAATGATACAGCATCTATAGTAAATGATACAGCATCTATAGTAAATGATACAGCATCTATAGTAAATGATACAGCATCTATATTAGTAGTAAATTATACAGCATCTATAATAGATGATACAGCATCTATAGTAAATGATATAGCCTCTATAGTAAATGATACAGCATCTATAGTAAATGATACAGCATCTATAGTAAATGATATAGCATATATATCAACATATACAGTGCATTCGGAAAGTATTCAGACCCCTTGACTTTTCCCACATTTTGTTACGTTACAGCCTTATTCTAAAATGAATTAAATAGTTTCCCCCCTCATCAAGCTACACACAATACCCCATAATGACAAAGCAAAAACAGGTTTGAACAAATTTTGGAAAATGTATATATAAAAAAAATGAAATATCACATTTACATAAGTATTCACGTTCAAGTCCGGGCTCTGGCTGGGCCACTCAAGGACATTCAGAGACTTGTCCCGAAGCCATTCCTGAGTTGTATTGGCTGTGTGCTTAGTGTCGTTGTCCTGTTGGAAGGTGAACCTTCGGCCCAGTCTGAGGTCCTAAGCACTCTGGAGCAGGTTTTCGTCAAGGATCTCTCTGTACTTTGCTCCGTTCATCTTTCCCTCGATCCTGACTAGTCTCCCAGACCCTGTCGCTGAAAAACATCCCCACAGCATGATGCTGCCACCACCATGCTTCACCGTAGGGATGGTGCCAGGTTTCCTCCAGACGTGACAGGATGCACCAGAGCTCAATTTCGAGTCTCATAGCAAAGGGTCTGAATACTTATGTAAGTAAGGTATTTCTGTTGTTTATTTTTTATAAATTTGCAAATATTTCTAAAAACCTGTTTTCACTTTGTCATTTTGGGGTATTGTGTGTAGATTGATGAGGGAAAAATAATTTAATAAATTTTAGAATAAGGCCGTAACATAATAACATTTGGAAAAAGGTAAGGGTTCTGAATACTTTCCGAATGAACTGTACAGTAGTACACGGTAGTACTCACGTACAGCATACATGTATATACTATAGTATTAGTACTCACGTACAGCATACATGTATATACTATAGTATTAGTACTCATATACAGCATACATGTATATACTATAGTATTAGTACTCACGTACAGCATACAGTGGGGAAAAAAGTATTTAGTCAGCCACCAATTGTGCAAGTTCTCCCACTTAAAAAGATGAGCGAGGCCTGTGATTTTCATCATAGGTACACGTCAACTATGACAGACAAATTGAGAATATTTTTTCCAGAAAATCACATTGTAGGATCTTTAAGGAATTTATTTGCAAATTATGGTGGAAAATAAGTATTTGGTCACCTACAAACAAGCAAGATTTCTGGCTCTCACAGACCTGTAACTTCTTCTTTAGGAGGCTCCTCTGTCCTCCACTCGTTACCTGTATTAATGGCACCTGTTTGAACTTGTTATCAGTATAAAAGACACCTGTCCACAACCTCAAACAGTCAAACTTCAAACTCCACTATGGCCAAGACCAAAGAGCTGCCAAAGGACACCAGAAACAAAATTGTAGACCTGCACCAGGCTGGGAAGACTGAATCTGCAATAGGTAAGCAGCTTGGTTTGAAGAAATCAACTGTGGGAGCAATTATTAGGAAATGGAAGACATACAAGACCACTGATAATCTCCCTCGATCTGGGGCTCCACGCAAGATCTCACCCCGTAGGGTCAAAATGATCACAAGAACAGTGAGCAAAAATCCCAGAACCACACGGGGGGACCTAGGGAATGACCTGCAGAGAGCTGGGACCAAAGTAACAAAGCCTACCATCAGTAACACACTACGCCGCCAGGGACTCAAACCCTGCAGTGCCAGACGTGTCCCCCTGCTTAAGCCAGTACATGTCCAGGCCCGTCTGAAGTTTGCTAGAGTGCATTTGGATGATCCAGAAGAGGATTGGGAGAATGTCATATGGTCAGATGAAACCAAAATATAACTTTTTGGTAAAAACTCAACTCGTCGTATTTGGAGGACAAAGAATGCTGAGTTGCATCCAAAGAACACCATACATACCTACTGTGAAGCATGGGGGTGGAAACATCATGCTTTGGGGCTGTTTTTCTGCAAAGGGACCAGGACGGCTGATCCATGTAAAGGAAAGAATGAATGGGGCCATGTATCGTGAGATTTTGAGTGAAAACCTCCTTCCATCAGCAAGGGCATTGAAGATGAAACGTGGCTGGGTCTTTCAGCATGACAATGATCCCAAACACACCGCCCGGGCAACGAAGGAGTGGCTTCGTAAGAAGCATTTCAAGGTCCTGGAGTGGCCTAGCCAGTCTCCAGATCTCAACCCCATAGAAAATCTTTGGAGGGAGTTGAAAGTTCGTTTTGCCCAGTGACAGCCCCAAAACATCACTGCTCTAGAGGAGATCTGCATGGAGGAATGGGCCAAAATACCAGCAACAGTGTGTGAAAACCTTGTGAAGACTTACAGAAAACGTTTGACCAGTGTCATTGCCAACAACGGGTATATAACAAAGTATTGAAAAACTTTTGTTATTGACCAAATACTTATTTTCCACCATAATTTGCAAATAAATTCATAAAAAATCCTACAATGTGATTTTCTGGATTTTTTCCCTCATTTTGTCTGTCATAGTTGACGTGTACCTATGATGAAAATTACAGGCCTCTCTCATCTTTTTAAGTGGGAGAACTTGCACAATTGGTGGCTGACTAAATACTTTTTTCCCCACTGTACATGTATTTACTATAGTATTAGTACTCACGTACAGCATACATGTATATAGTATAGTATTAGTACTCACGTACAGCATACATGTATATACTATAGTATTAGTACTCACGTACAGCATATAATATAATAATAATAATAATATGCCATTTAGCAGACGCTTTTATCCAAAGCGACTTACAGTCGTGCGTGCATACATTTTTGTGTATGGGTGGTCCCGGGGATCGAACCCACTACCTTGGCGTTACAAGCGCCGTGCTCTACCAGCTGAGCTACAGAGTACCAGCATACATGTATATAGTATAGTATTTGTACTCACGTACAGCATATATGTATATAGTATAGTTTTAGTACTCACGTACAGCATACATGTATATAGTATAGTATTAGTACTCACGTACAGCATACATATATATATACTATAGTATTAGTACTCACGTACAGCATACATGTATATAGTATAGTATTAGTACTCACGTACAGCATACATGTATATAGTATAGTATTAGTACTCACGTACAGCATACATGTATATAGTATAGTATTAGTACTCACGTGGTACAGCATATATATCAGCCTGCCGTCTCTGAACTTGTCCACAGCATCGTTGGTCGGGACGAACACAGTGAGAGGACCAGGACCTCTCAGAGGCAGAGTAGTCCCACAGTTCTGACAGAGAAAAAGGAGTAAGACAGACGTACAGACAGACAGACGTACAGACAGGCGGACAGACAGACAGGGGGACAGACAGGCGTACAGACAGACAGGGGGACAGACAGGCGTACAGACAGACAGGGGGACAGACAGGTGGACAGACAGACAGGGGGACAGACAGGCGTACAGACAGACAGGGGGACAGACAGGCGGACAGACAGACAGGGGGACAGACAGGCGGACAGACAGGCGGACAGACAGACAGGGGGATAGACAGGCGGACAGACAGACAGGGGGATAGACAGACAGGCGGACAGACAGGCGGACAGACAGGCGGACAGACAGACAGGGGGACAGACAGGCGTACAGACAGACAGGGGGACAGACAGGCGTACAGACAGACAGGGGGACAGACAGGTGGACAGACAGACAGGGGGACAGACAGGCGGACAGACAGGCGGACAGACAGACAGGGGGATAGACAGGCGGACAGACAGGCGGACAGACAGACAGGGGGATAGACAGACAGGCGGACAGACAGACAGGCGGACAGACAGACAGGGGGATAGACAGACAGGCGGACAGACAGACAGACAGGCGGACAGGCGGACAGACAGGCGGACAGACAGACAGGGGGACAGACAGACAGGCGGACAGACAGACAGACAGACGTACAGACAAACGGACAGGCGGACAGACAGACAGGGGGACAGACAGACGTACAGACAGGCGGACAGACAGACAGACAGACGTACAGACAGGCGGACAGAGACAGACAGACAGACAGACAGACAGACAGAGAGACAGACGGACAGACAGGCGGACAGGCGGACAGACAGGCGGACAGGCGGACAGACAGGCGGACAGACAGACAGGGGGACAGACAGACAGGCGGACAGACAGACAGAGAGACAGACAGACGTACAGACAGGCGGACAGACAGGCGGACATACAGACAGGAAATGTGTCTTGGATATTCGATGATCAAGTCATGCATTATCATTAGTGCTCTCTACAAGGTTAAAATCTGTGGTTCTGCCCCTGAGCAAGGCAGTTAACCCACTGTTCCCCGGGCGCCGAAGACGTGGATGGCGATTAAGGCAGCCCCTCGTACCTCTCTGATTCAGAGGGGTGGGGTTAAATGCGGAAGACACATTACAGTTTAATGCGTTCAGTTGTACAACTGACTAGGTATCCCCCTTCCCCTTTCTCTGTAACCTAGCAGCAGAATGCTTTAAGAAGCGTTATGCCAGAATGGTCCAATAAGAAGGAATCAGAAGGAACACTACCAGGGCCTGTATTCATAGTAGGAGTACTGTTCTAGGATCAGTTTAGCTTTTTAGATCATAACTAATAATATTACATGGACATGGAGGGACCCGATCCCAGATCAGCACTCCTCCTACTCTGAGAGTCTTTGTGAGTATGAACCCTGAAACAAAACATCTAGTGAAACACCATTAGAGGCCACTCACGTCCACCAGCGACAGGAAGCGGTTGTATTTCCCATCCCTGGTGAGGATCTCCCCGATGGTCTTATCAGCAAACTTCAAGTGAGAGAATGATTAGTCAGTATCATCGAAAGAGTTCGATAAGAGGGAACATCCTTGTATCGTTGCCATAATGGCTCCTGTGACAGAATAGGCAGCGCCTCTGAGGGCTATCTCCATTTTAAAGTAGTTCATTTCTTCTTCTACTACTTCTGTGAGTTTATTGACAGTCTAAACAAACTGAGAGGTTGCATACTGCCCCCTGGAGGGTGTTGTCTGAACAGGTATAAACCCAAGGTTGGTGATTTACTGCCCCCTGGAGGGTGTTGTCTGAACAGGTATAAACCCAAGGTTGGTGATTTACTGCCCCCTGGAGGGTGTTGTCTGAACAGGTATAAACCCAAGGTTGGTGATTTACTGCCCCCTGGAGGGTGTTGTCTGAACTGGTATAAAGCCAAGGTTGGTGATATACTGCCCCCTGGAGGGTGTTGTCTGAACAGGTATAAACCCAAGGTTGGTGATTTACTGCCCCCTGGAGGGTGTTGTCTGAACTGGTATAAAGACAAGGTTGGTGATTTACTGCCCCCTGGAGGGTGTTGTCTGAACAGGTATAAAGCCAAGGTTGGTGATTTACTGCCCCCTGGAGGGTGTTGTCTGAACAGGTATAAAGCCAAGGTTGGTGATTTACTGCCCCCTGGAGGGTGTTGTCTGAACAGGTATAAAGCCAAGGTTGGTGATTTACTGCCACCTGCAGTTATGGAATGTTTTGTCATGAGCATAATGCATTGACTGATCCCTCCTGATGACCTTGATATAATTATGTGATCCTTCCTTAACCCATAGGAAGTCCCAGCCAGTTGACTACTTCAAAATGGTGATTGCACCGTTTTGTGAAAAGTGAGCCCTCTATGCAACTCTATGGTATCATCCAATCACAAGTGGTAGCAATAGTATAATGTTAAGGTCGTTTCTTCATCCTGGTCCTTTGGGTCCCAAAGGGGTGCACATTTTAGTTTTTGCCCCACAGCACTACACAGCTGATTACACTAATAAAAGCCTTAATGATGAGTTTATTATTTAAATCAGGTGTTTAGTGCTGTGGGCAAAAACTAAAATGTGCCCCCCAGGACCAGGATTTAAAAACACTGTGTGAAGGAAAACCAGCAGTACTGCGGACCTCTGGGCTTTTCTATTCATTATAATTCTATGGTAACACCTGCTCATCCTTTGGGCTGTCAGAGAGGATGTTCCTGGGAATGATTGGCTGGTCGATGATATGGATAACTCCATTGGCTGCTGGGATGTCCTGCTGGATGACTGAGTAGAGAGTCTCAGGAGACTTCATCAATATGAATTGCTGTCAAACACAAAACACATTTGGGGTTGGACCACCACATGTAAACTGCGTTCCAAATGGCACCATATTCCCTATATACTAGTTCACTACTTTTGACTAGAGCTCTGGTCAAAAGTAGTGCACTATATAGGGAATGGGGTGCCATTCTCTGGTCTAACGTAGTGCACTATATAGGGAATAGGGTGCCATTCTCTGGTCTAAAGTAGTGCACTATATAGGGAATAGGGTGCCATTCTCTGGTCTAAAGTAGTGCACTATATAGGGAATAGGGTGCCATTCTCTGGTCTAAAGTAGTGCACTATATAGGGAATAGGGTGCCATTCTCTGGTCTAAAGTAGTGCACTATATAGGGAATAGGGTGCCATTCTCTGGTCTAAAGTAGTGCACTATATAGGGAATAGGGTGCCATTCTCTGGTCTAAAGTAGTGCACTACATAGGGAATAGGGTGCCATTCTCTGGTCTAAAGTAGTGCACTATATAGGGAATAGGGTGCCATTCTCTGGTCTAAAGTAGTGCACTACATAGGGAATAGGGTGCCATTCTCTGGTCTAAAGTAGTGCACTATATAGGGAATAGGGTGCCATTCTCTGGTCTAAAGTAGTGCACTATATAGGGAATAGGGTGCCATTCTCTGGTCTAAAGTAGTGCACTATATAGGGAATGGGGTGCCATTCTCTGGTCTAAAGTAGTGCACTACATAGGGAATAGGGTGCCATTCTCTGGTCTAAAGAAGTGCACTATATAGGGAATAGGGTGCCATTCTCTGGTCTAAAGTAGTGCACTATATAGGGAATAGGGTGCCATTCTCTGGTCTAAAGTAGTGCACTATATAGGGAATAGGGTGCCATTCTCTGGTCTAAAGTAGTGCACTATATAGGGAATAGGGTGCCATTCTCTGGTCTAAAGTAGTGCACTATATAGGGAATAGGGTGCCATTCTCTGGTCTAAAGTAGTGCACTATATAGGGAATAGGGTGCCATTCTCTGGTCTAAAGTAGTGCACTACATAGGGAATAGGGTGCCATTCTCTGGTCTAAAGTAGTGCACTATATAGGGAATAGGGTGCCATTCTCTGGTCTAAAGTAGTGCACTATATAGGGAATAGGGTGCCATTCTCTGGTCTAAAGTAGTGCACTATATAGGGAATAGGGTGCCATTCTCTGGTCTAAAGTAGTGCACTATATAGGGAATAGGGTGCCATTCTCTGGTCTAAAGTAGTGCACTATATAGGGAATAGGGTGCCATTCTCTGGTCTAAAGTAGTGCACTATATAGGGAATAGGGTGCCATTCTCTGGTCTAAAATAGTGCACTATATAGGGAATAGCGTGCCATTCTCTGGTCTAAAGTAGTGCACTATATAGGGAATAGGGTGCCATTCTCTGGTCTAAAGTAGTGCACTATATAGGGAATAGGGTGCCATTCTCTGGTCTAAAGTAGTGCACTACATAGGGAATAGGGTGCCATTCTCTGGTCTAAAGTAGTGCACTATATAGGGAATAGGGTGCCATTCTCTGGTCTAAAGTAGTGCACTATATAGGGAATAGGGTGCCATTCTCTGGTCTAAAGTAGTGCACTATATAGGGAATAGGGTGCCATTCTCTGGTCTAAAGTAGTGCACTATATAGGGAATAGGGTTGCCATTCTCTGGTCTAAAGTAGTGCACTATATAGGGAATAGGGTGCCATTCTCTGGTCTAAAGTAGTGCACTATATAGGGAATAGGGTGCCATTCTCTGGTCTAAAATAGTGCACTATATAGGGAATAGCGTGCCATTCTCTGGTCTAAAGTAGTGCACTATATAGGGAATAGGGTGCCATTCTCTGGTCTAAAGTAGTGCACTATATAGGGAATAGGGTGCCATTCTCTGGTCTAAAGTAGTGCACTATATAGGGAATAGGGTGCCATTCTCTGGTCTAAAGTAGTGCACTATATAGGGAATAGGGGGCCATGCTCTGGTCTAAAGTAGTGCACTATATAGGGAATAGGGTGCCATTCTCTGGTCTAACGTAATGCACTATATAGGGAATAGGGTGTCATTCTCTGGTCTAAAGTAGTGCACTATATAGGGAATAGGGGGCCATTTGAGACGCAACCGTAAAGAATGAGGACATTTTTCAGAGCATACACAAGATAACTTAGGGTTGCAAAATTCCTGTAACGTCCAAGGTTTTTCCAGAAACCCCGGTTGGAGGATTCTCGGATTTCCTGCTTATTCCCTTTCTGATGGAACATTCCAACTGGGAAAACCTATGCATCATTTTTCAACCTTATCCAAAGCATTCAATATTCAGTTTAAAATCTGAAGAGAAATAATTCAAAGAGATTTAGTTTATCCTGTAGATGAAAGATTATTGAAAGATATGATTTGAACCAAGATATGAAAGGTATGATTTGCCTAGACACACAGATGAATGAGAATATAATATTTCCTTCACCTTATTGGGCTTGAACCTGAGTTGTAGTCCACTTGCAGTATAGACGTCGGTTCCATCCAGGCTTTTATACAGGTACTGGCCCCTCACCAGGTAACGTTGACACACAGACTCGTCTGAAACACCCTGAGGGGGTTGGACAACAGGACAGGAGTCGGTAACCTGGGCTGCATCTCTAATGGTCCCCTAGTACTAAGGTTGCAACATTCCGATAACTTTCCCCAAAATTCCCTGGTTTTCCCAAAATCCTGGTTGGAGGATTGACGGATTTTCCTGGGTATTCTCTTATACATCCAGAAATCTTGCAACCAGGATTTCTGGAAAGCCGTTGAATTTTTGGCAAAGTTACCAGAATTATGCAACCCTACCCAGTACACATGTAATTTTCGCTAACAATTTAGCAGAAGAGAGCGTAAGCTTGGGATGCAACTCTGGTCCCCGATCAGATCTGAAAGTGGTCCTCTGTAGCTCAATTGGTAGAGCATGGCTCTTGTAACGCCAGGGTAGTGGGTTCGATCCCCGCGACCACCCATATGTAAAAATGTATGCAAGCGTGACTGTAAGTCGCTTTGGATAAAAGCGTCTGCTAAATGGCATATTAAAGTGCTTTAGCTGACTGGTTGCCATGACGTAGACTAAAGCAGTGATGCTGTTGTAACTCTGAACCAGCTCATTGACCTATTAAAGGGCTTGATGATCAGGTGATCAGGTGTGCTAGCTCTGGAATAGTTAAATACATGGAACGGCTGTGGGTCCCGAGGAGAGGTTTGACTAAAGCACAGACAGATCTGGGATCAGTTAGTATGATTGGCAACTCCTGGGTTAGGTTATAAGGGTTAGGTTGTTAGGGTTACGTTATTAGGGTTAGGGTTGTTACGGTAACTTACTGCTAGAGGCACTTTGAGTAGAGGGATGAAAGCGGTGAAAGGTCCCCGTTGGCTCATGGTCAGCATACAGCCTCTCACTGAATATAAAGAAAACAGACATTAGTAACCTGCCCTTTTAACAACAACAACAACAACACACACAGGGAGGTTGGGTACCAAATAGCATGATGGCTCCAGAGAGCTTCCCCTTGTGGGTCCCCTCCCTGTCCAACTCCACTAGCCGCTCTATCAGGTTGCCATAACAACGGTAGCCATCGCCGATCTGTTGGGCGTCACACAGGCACCTGACCGAGGAGAGAGAGAGATAGAGAGCATTCAATTCAGAGTTAAAATATTGGGGGGGGGGGGTTCAGTCCTCTCTAGAGTGCTGGGTGTGACAGGGTTTTGTCCAGACCTACCTACCACTGTTCTACTAATCAGCTAATATCAGATCCTGATATTGAATCAGTGTGTTAGAGCAGCGCCAAAACCCGCAGCCTACCCAGCCCTCCAGGAGTCAGGTTTAATTCGGGTACCTCCCAGTCCCCGTCCAGAAACCCTGTTGGAGGATTCCCAGATTTCCCTATCCCTTTTGATTCCAGGATTGGAGGAAAGAGAGAATAGACTTCATAGAGTTAACATGTTGTGGGGGGGTTTTTTTCCTAGCTTCCTAGGCAGCTGCTGTTGCATCTGCATTTGCGATTCTTTACACCGGGGTTTCTATAGGACTATCGTGACCTTGATTAGTTAAAAAAGGTGCTTTAGAGAGTGGCATATCTGAAATATTGATCCTCGGAGGTTAGTTTAAATCGTAACGTTCCCCAGGTCCCGTTTCACAGAACGGGCGGTTGGGGAGTGTGTCATTCACATCCTTCATTCCAGGATTTGGAGGAAGGGGTTAGACCCATTCATCTTTGAGACTGACAGATTGAAGGATTTATCAGGCTTTACCACTGTGTTCACCTGCCATTCCCCGTTAGGTTACACACGGTTTCTATGCCTATTCCCTCTGATGAAACAAAAGGGCTTTACAATACATGTATTAACATGCGCTCACTATATCACAGAGTTTACATTAACGTACCCCCTGAATCAGTCCACCGATTTACCAAGCGGCCCCTGAGCGTACAAGAGTTTACACAACACCAGCTTCGCAACACGAAGGGGTAAGCCTCACCAACCACTCCACTCGACCATTACACCAGAACCAACATACCACCAACATACACACAGGTAACCAACCCATCCCCTCAACCATAACACAGAGTTACACCTACCATCCCCCTCAACCATACACCAGAGAAAACAACCTCACCATCTCCCTACGACCATACACAAGATTACACCACCATCCCCTCGACCATACACACAGAGTTACACCTAACCATCCCCCTCAACCATACACACAGAGTTACACCTAACCACCCCCTCAACCATAAACACAGAGTTACACCTAACCATCCCCCTCAACCATACACAAGAGAAACACCTAACCATCCCCCTCAACCAATACACCAGTACCCTAACATCTCCCATCAATCAACACACAGAGTTACACTGGAGATACACCTAACCATCCCCCTCAACCATACACACAGAGTTACACCTAACCATCCCCCTCAACCATACACACAGAGTTACACCTAACCATCCCCCTCAACCATACACACAGAGTTACACCTAACCATCCCCCTCGACCATACATTTACATTTTAGTCATTTAGCAGACGCTCTTATCCAGAGCGACTTACAGTTAGTGAATACATATTTTTTTATACTGGCCCCCCGTGGGAATTGAACCCACAACCCTGGCGTTGCAAACGCCATGCTCTATCAACTGAGCTACATCCCTGCCGGCCATTCCCTCCCCTACCCTGGACGACGCTGGGCCAATTGTGCGCCACCCATGAGTCTCCCGGTCGCGGCCGGCTGCGACAGAGCCTGGATTCGAACCAGGATCTCTAGTGGCACAGTTAGCACTGCGATGCAGTGCCTTAGACCACTGCGCCACAACCATACACACAGTTACACCTAACCATCCCCCTCAACCATACACACAGAGTTACACCTAACCATCCCCCTCGACCATACACACAGAGTTACACCTAACCATCCCCCTCAACCATACACACAGAGTTACACCTAACCATCCCCCTCAACCATACACACAGAGTTACACCTAACCATCCCCCTCAACCATACACACAGAGTTACACCTAACCATCCCCCTCGACCATACACACAGAGTTACACTGGAGTTACACCTAACCATCCCCCTCAACCATACACACAGAGTTACACCTAACCATCCCCCTCGACCATACACACAGAGTTACACCTAACCATCCCCCTCAACCATACACACAGTTACACCTAACCATCCCCCTCGACCATACACACAGAGTTACACCTAACCATCCCCCTCAACCATACACACAGAGTTACACCTAACCATCCCCCTCGACCATACACACAGAGTTACACCTAACCATCCCCCTCAACCATACACACAGAGTTACACCTAACCATCCCCCTCAACCATACACACAGAGTTACACCTAACCATCCCCCTCAACCATACACACAGAGTTACACTGGTTGTTAATGTTAAAGGCCCAGTGCAGTCTAAAACGTGACTTTCCTGTGTATCATATATCCAGTATCTCACAAAAGTGAGTACACCCCTCACATTTTTGTAAATATTTGAGTATATCTTTTCATGTGACAACACTGAAGAAATGACACTTTGCTACATTGTAGAGTAGTGAGTGTACAGCTTGTATAACAGTGTACATTTGCTGTCCCCTCAAAATAACTCAACACACAGCCATTAATGTCTAAACCGCTTGCAACAAAAGTGAGTACACCCCTAAGTGAAAATGTCCAAATTGGGCCCAATTAGCCATTTTCCCTCCCCGGTGTGACTCGTTAGTGTTACAAGGTCTCAGGTGTGAACGGGGAGCAGGTGTGTTAAATTTGGTGTCATCGCTCTCACACTCCCTCATACTGGTCACGCACCTCATGGCAAAGAACTCTCTGAGGATCTGAAAAAAAAAGAATTGTTGCTCTACATAAAGATGGCCTGGGCTATAAGAAGTTTGCCAAGACCCTGAAACTGAGCTGCAGCACGGTGGCCAAGACCATACAGCGGTTTAACAGGACAGGTTCCACTCAGAACAGGCCTCGCCATGGTCGACCAAAGAAGTTGAGTGCACGTGCTCAGCGTCATATCCAGAGGTTGTCTTTGGGAAATAGACGTATGAGTGCTGCCAGCATTGCTGCAGCGGTTGAAGGGGTCGGGGGTCAGCCTGTCAGTGCTCAGACCATACACTGCACCAAATTGGTCTGCATGGCTGTCGTCCCAGAAGGAAGCCTCTTCTAAAGATGATGCACAAGAAAGCCCGCAAACAGTTTGCTGAAGACAAGCAGACTAAGGACATGGATTACTGGAACCATGTCCTGTGGTCTGATGAGACCAAGATAAACTTATTTGGTTCAGATGGTGTCAAGCGTGTGTGGCGGCAACCAGGTGAGGAGTACAAAGACAAGTGTGTCTTGCCTACAGTCAAGCATGGTGGTGGGAGTGTCATAGTCTGGGGCTGCATGAGTGCTGCCGGCACTGGGGAGCTACAGTTCATTGAGGGAACCATTAATGCAACATGTACTGTGACATACTGAAGCAGAGCATGATCCCCTCCCTTCGGAGACTGGGCCGCAGGGCACTATTCCAACATGATAACGACCCCAAACACACCTCCAAGACGACCACTGCCTTGCTAAAGAAGCTGAGGGTAAAGGTGATGGACTGGCCAAGCATGTCTCCAGACCTAAACCCTATTGAGCATCTGTGGGGCATCCTCAAACGGAAGGTGGAGGAGTGCAAGGTCTCTAACATCCACCAGCTCTGTGATATCATCATGGAGGAGTGGAAGAGGACTCCAGTGGCAACCTGTGAAGCTCTGGTGAACTCCATGCCCAAGAGGGTTAAGGCAGTGCTGGAAAATGATGGTGGCCACACAAAATATTGACACTTTGGGCCCAATTTGGACATTTTCACTTAGGGGTGTACTCACTTTTGTTGCCAGCGGTTTATATATTAATGGCTGTGTGTTGAGTTATTTTGAGGGGACAGCAAATGTACACTGTTATACAAGCTGTACACTCACTACTTTACATTGTAGCAAAGTGTCATTTCTTCAGTGTTGTCACATGAAAAGATATACTCAAATATTTACAAAAATGTGAGGGGTGTACTCACTTTTGTGAGATACTGTATTTCCACGCTATGAGGTTGGAATAATACTGTGAAATTGTGAAAATTACAGTATAAAGCCCTTTTAGTGTCAGAGCTGATTGAAAAGACGGCCTGAAACCTCTCTGCCAATAACAGCTAGTTTTCCATTAACAGACCAACCCTGCTGGTATAGACACAGACTAACCCTGCTGGTATAGACACAGACTCACCCTGCTGGTATAGACACAGACTACCCCTGCTGGTATAGACACAGACTAACCCTGCTGGTATAGACACAGACTAACCCTGCTGGTATAGACACAGACTCACCCTGCTGGTATAGACACAGACTAACCCTGCTGGTATAGACACAGACTAACCCTGCTGGTATAGACACAGACTAACCCTGCTGGTATAGACACAGACTAACCCTGCTGGTATAGACACAGACTAACCCTGCTGGTAGAGACACAGACTAACCCTGCTGGTATAGACACAGACTAACCCTGCTGGTATAGACACAGACTCACCCTGCTGGTATAGACACAGACTAACCCTGCTGGTATAGACACAGACTAACCCTGCTGGTATAGACACAGACTAACCCTGCTGGTATAGACACAGACTCACCCTGCTGGTATAGACACAGACTCACCCTGCTGGTATAGACACAGACTCACCCTGCTGGTATAGACACAGACTCACCCTGCTGGTATAGACACAGACTCACCCTGCTGGTATAGACACAGACCAACCCTGCTGGTATAGACACAGACTAACCCTGCTGGTAGAGACACAGACTAACCCTGCTGGTATAGACACAGACTCACCCTGCTGGTATAGACACAGACTAACCCTGCTGGTATAGACACAGACTAACCCTGCTGGTATAGACACAGACCAACCCTGCTGGTATAGACACAGACTAACCCTGTTGGTATAGACACAGACCAACCCTGCTGGTAGAGACACAGACCAACCCTGCTGGTATAGACACAGACCAACCCTGCTGGTATAGACACAGACCAACCCTGCTGGTAGAGACACAGACTAACCCTGCTGGTATAGAGACAGACGAACCCTGCTGGTATAGACACAGACTAACCCTGCTGGTAGAGACACAGACTAACCCTGCTGGTATAGACACAGACTCACCCTGCTGGTATAGACACAGACTAACCCTGCTGGTATAGACACAGACTAACCCTGCTGGTATAGACACAGACTAACCCTGCTGGTATAGACACAGACTAACCCTGCTGGTAGAGACACAGACTCACCCTGCTGGTATAGACACAGACTAACCCTGCTGGTATAGACACAGACCAACCCTGCTGGTAGAGACACAGACTCACCCTGCTGGTATAGACACAGACTAACCCTGCTGGTATAGACACAGACAAACCCTGCTGGTAGAGACACAGACTCACCCTGCTGGTAGAGACACAGACTCACCCTGCTGGTAGAGACACAGACTCACCCTGCTGGTAGAGACACAGACTAACCCTGCTGGTATAGACACAGACTCACCCTGCTGGTATAGACACAGACTAACCTGCTGGTATAGACACAGACTAACCCTGCTGGTATAGACACAGACTAACCCTGCTGGTATAGACATAGACTAACCCTGCTGGTATAGACACAGACTAACCCTGCTGGTATAGACACAGACTCACCCTGCTGGTAGAGACACAGACTAACCCTGCTGGTAGAGACACAGACTAACCCTGCTGGTAGAGACACAGACTAACCCTGCTGGTATAGACACAGACTCACCCTGCTGGTATAGACACAGACTAACCTGCTGGTATAGACACAGACTCACCCTGCTGGTATAGACACAGACTAACCCTGCTGGTATAGACACAGACTCACCCTGCTGGTATAGACACAGACTAACCCTGCTGGTATAGACACAGACTAACCCTGCTGGTATAGACACAGACTAACCCTGCTGGTATAGACACAGACTCACCCTGCTGGTATAGACACAGACTCACCCTGCTGGTATAGACACAGACTCACCCTGCTGGTATAGACACAGACTCACCCTGCTGGTATAGACACAGGACTCAAACCCTGCTGGTATAGACACAGACCAACCCTGCTGTATAGACACAGACTAACCCTGCTGGTAGAGACACAGACTAACCCTGCTGGTTATAGACACAGATCACCCTGCTGGTATAGACACGAACTAACCCTGCTGGTATAGACACAGACTAGCCCTGCTGGTATAGACACAGACACCCTGCTGGTATAGACACAGACCAACCCTGCTGGTATAGACACAGACCAACCCTGCTGGTATAGACACCAGACCAACCCTGCTGGTAGAGACAACAGACTACCTGCTGGTATAGACATAGACTAACCTTGCTGGTATAGACCACAGACTAACCCTGCTGGTAGAGACACAGACTCACCCTGCTGGTATAGACACAGAACCCTAACCCTGCTGGTATAGACACAGACCAACCCTGCTGGTAGAGACACAGACTCCCAGACTCACCCTGCTGGTATAGACACAGACTCAACCCTGCTGGTAGAGACACAGACTCAACCCTGCTGGTAGAGACACAGACTCACCCTGCTGGTAGAGACACAGACTAACCCTGCTGGTAGAGACACAGACTCACCCTGCTGGTAGAGACACAGACTAACCCTGCTGGTATAGACACAGACTCACCCTGCTGGTATAGACACAGACTAACCCTGCTGGTATAGACACAGACTAACCCTGCTGGTATAGACACAGACTAACCCTGCTGGTATAGACACAGACTAACCCTGCTGGTATAGACACAGACTAACCCTGCTGGTATAGACACAGACTCACCCTGCTGGTAGAGACACAGACTCACCCTGCTGGTAGAGACACAGACTAACCCTGCTGGTAGAGACACAGACTAACCCTGCTGGTAGAGACACAGACTAACCCTGCTGGTAGAGACACAGACTCACCCTGCTGGTAGAGACACAGACTCAACCCTGCTGGTAGAGACACAGACTAACCCTGCTGGTATAGACACAGACTAACCCTGCTGGTATAGACACAGACTAACCTGCTGGTATAGACACAGACTAACCCTGCTGGTATAGACACAGACTAACCCTGCTGGTATAGACACAGACTAACCCTGCTGGTATAGACACAGACTACACCCTGCTGGTATAGACACAGACTCACCCTGCTGGTAGAGACACAGACTAACCCTGCTGGTAGAGACACAGACTAACCCTGCTGGTAGAGACACAGACTAACCCTGCTGGTATAGACACAGACTAACCCTGCTGGTAAGACACAGACTAACCCTGCTGGTAAGACACAGACTCACCCTGCTGGTAGAGACACAGACTAACCCTGCTGGTATAGACACAGACTACCCTGCTGGTAAGACACAGACTAACCCTGCTGGTATAGACACAGACTAACCCTGCTGGTATAGACACAGACTAACCCTGCTGGTATAGACACAGACTACACCCTGTGGTATAGACACAGACTAACCCTGCTGGTATAGACACAGACTAACCCTGCTGGTATAGACACAGACTAACCCTGCTGGTATAGACACAGACTAACCCTGCTGGTATAGACACAGACTAACCCTGCTGGTATAGACACAGACTAACCCTGCTGGTATAGACACAGACTAACCCTGCTGGTATAGACACAGACAACCCTGCTGGTAAGACACAGACTAACCCTGCTGGTATAGACACAGACTAACCCTGCTGGTGTAGAGACACAGACTAACCCTGCTGGTATAGACACAGACTAACCCTGCTGGTATAGACACAGACTAACCCTGCTGGTATAGACACAGACTAACCCTGCTGGTATAGACACAGAACCTAACACCTCCGCTGGTATAGACACAGACTAACCCTGCTGGTATAAGACACAGATACAACCCTGCTGGTATAGACACAGACAACCCTGCTGGTATAGACACAGACTAACCCTGCTGGTATAGACACAGACTAACCCTGCTGGTATAGACACAGACTAACCCTGCTGGTATAGACACAGACTAACCCTGCTGGTATAGACACAGACTAACCCTGCTGGTATAGACACAGACTACCCTGCTGGTATAGACACAGACTAACCTGCTGGTATAGACACAGACTAACCCTGCTGGTATAGACACAGACTAACCCTGCTGGTATAGACACAGACTAACCCTGCTGGTATAGACACAGACTAACCCTGCTGGTATAGACACAGACTAACCCTGCTGGGATAGACACAGACTAACCCTGCTGGTATAAGAACACAGACTAACCCTGCTGGTATAACAAGAAACAACTACCCTCGGTAAGACACAGACTACCCTGCTGGTATAGACACAGACTAACCCTGCTGGTATAGACACAGACTCACCCTGCTGGTATAGACACAGACTAACCTGCTGGATAGACCAGCAACCCTGCTGGTATAGACACAGACTAACCCTGCTGGTATAGACACAGACTAACCCTGCTGGTATAGACACAGACTACCCTGCTGGTGTAGACACAGACTAACCCTGCTGGTATAGACACAGACTAACCCTGCTGGTATAGACACAGACTACCCCTGCTGGTATAGACACAGACTAACCCTGCTGGTATAGACACAGACTAACCCTGCTGGTATAGACACAGACTCACCCTGCTGGTATAGACACAGACTAACCCTGCTGGTATAGACACAGACTCACCCTGCTGGTATAGACACAGACTAACCCTGCTGGTATAGACACAGACTACCCTGCTGGTATAGACACAGACTAACCCTGCTGGTAGAGACACAGACTAACCCTGCTGGTATAGACACAGACTAACCCTGCTGGTAGAGACACAGACTAACCCTGCTGGTATAGACACAGACTAACCCTGCTGGTATAGACACAGACTAACCCCTGCTGGTATAGACACAGACTAACCCTGCTGGTATAGACCACAGACTCACCCTGCTGGTATAGACACAGACTAACCCTGCTGGTAGAGACACAGACTAACCCCTGCTGGTATAGACCAGACTAACCCTGCTTGGATATAGACACAGGACTACCCTGCTGGTAGAGACACAGAGACTAACCCTGCTGTTAGAACACTAACCCTGCTGGTATAGACACAGACTCACCCTGCTGGTATAGACACAGACTAACCTGCTGGTATAGACACAGACTCACCCTGCTGGTAGTAGACACAGACTAACCCTGCTGGTATAGACACAGACTAACCCTGCTGGTATAGACACAGACTAACCCTGCTGGTAGGGCCAGACTACCTGCGGTAAGACACGACTAACCCTGCTGGTATAGACACAGACTAACCCTGCTGGTATAGACACAGACTAACCCTGCTGGTATAGACACAGACTAACCCTGCTGGTATAGACACAGACTCACCCTGCTGGTATAGACACAGACTAACCCTGCTGGTATAGACACAGACTAACCCTGCTGGTAGAGACACAGACTAACCCTGCTGGTAGAGACACAGACTAACCCTGCTGGTAGAGACACAGACTAACCCTGCTGGTATAGACACAGACTAACCCTGCTGGTAGAGACACAGACTAACCCTGCTGGTTAGAAGACTCACCCTGCTGTATAGACACAGACTAACCCTGCTGGTAGAGACACATGACTCAACACCTGCTGGTATAGACACAGACTACACCCTGCTGGTATAGACACAGACTACCCTGCTGGTATAGACACAGACTAACCCTGCTGGTAGAGACACAGACTACCCTGCTGGTAGAGACACAGACTAACCCTGCTGGATAGACAGACAATACCCTGCTGGTATAGCGGACCGACTCACCCTGCTGGTATAGACACAGACTACCCTGCTGGTATAGACAAGACTAACCCTGCTGGTATAGACAACAGACTAACCCTGCTGGTATAGAACACAGACTAACCCTGCTGGTATAGACACAGACTACCCTGCTGGTATAGACAACAGACTAACCTGCTGGTAGAGACACAGACTCACCTGCTGGTATAGACACAGACTCACCCTGCTGGTAGAGACACAGACTAACCCTGCTGGTATAGACACTACTAACCCTGCGGTATAGACACAGACTACACCTGCTGGTATAGACACAGGACTAACCCTGCTGGGTATAGACACAGACTAACCCTGCTGGTATAGACACAGACTAACCCTGCTGGTATAGACACAGACTACCCTGCTGGTATAGACACAGACTAACCTGCTGGTATAGACACAGACTAACCCTGCTGGTATAGACACAGACTAACCCTGCTGGTATAGACACAGACTAACCCTGCTGGTATAGACACAGACTAACCCTGCAGGTATAGACACAGACTAACCCTGCTGGTATAGACACAGACTAACCCTGCTGGTATAGACACAGACTAACCCTGCTGGTATAGACACAGACTAACCTGCTGGTATAGACACAGACTAACCCTGCTGGTATAGACACAGACTAACCCTGCTGGTATAGACACAGACTACAACCCCTGCTGGTATAGACACAGACTAACCTGCTGGTATAGACACAGACTAACCCTGCTGGTATAGACACAGACTAACCCTGCTGGTATAGACACAGACTAACCCTGCTGGTATAGACACAGACTAACCTGCTGGTATAGACACAGACTAACCCTGCTGGTATAGACACAGACTAACCCCGATGGTATAGACACAGACTAACCCCGCTGGTATAGACACAGACTAACCCTGCTGGTATAGACACAGACTCACCCTGCCAGGGCTGGTATAGACAGACTCACCCTGCCAGGTAGGGTATAGACACAGACTAACCCTGACAGGGCTGGTATAGACACAGACTCACCGTGCCAGGGCTGGTATAGACAGACTCACCTGCCAGGGCTGGTATAGACACAGACTCACCCTGCCAGGGCTGGTATAGACACAGACTCACCCTGCCAGGGCTGGTATAGACACAGGACTAACCCTGCTGGTATAGACACAGACTCAACCTGCCAGGGCTGGTATAGACACAGACTCACCCTGCCAGGGCTGGTATAGACACAGACTCACCCTGCCAGGCTGGTTATAGACACAGACTCACCTGCCAGGGCTGGTATAGACACAGACTAACCCTGCTGGTATAGACACAGACTCACCCTGCCAGGGCTAGTATAGACACAGACTCACCCTGCCAGGGCTGGTATAGACACAGACTCACCCTGCCAGGGCTGGTGTAGACACAGACTCACCCTGCCAGGGCTGGTATAGACAGACTCACCCTGCCAGGGCTGGTATAGACACAGACTCACCCTGCCAGGGCTGGTATAGACACAGACTCACCCTGCCAGGGCTGGTATAGACACAGACTCACCCTGCCAGGGCTGGTATAGACACAGACTCACCCTGCCAGGGCTGGTATAGACACAGACTCACCCTGCCAGGGCTGGTATAGACACAGACTCACCCTGCCAGGGCTGGTATAGACACAGACTAACCCTGCTGGTATAGACACAGACTAACCCTGCTGGTATAGACACAGACTCACCCTGCCAGGGCTGGTATAGACACAGACTCACCCTGCCAGGGCTGGTATAGACACAGACTCACCCTGCCAGGGCTGGTATAGACACAGACTAACCCTGCTGGTATAGACACAGACTAACCCTGCTGGTATAGACACAGACTCACCCTGCCAGGGCTGGTATAGACACAGACTAACTCTGCTGGTATAGACACAGACTCACCCTGCCAGGGCTGGTGTAGACACAGACGGTGGAGTTGCGAGGACATCCTCCGTTGTCCTTGTCACATGGGTTGATAGGAACACATACCCGGCCATTCCCTTGGTAACCTTCCTTACACTGGCACTTGAACACCCGCCCCCCCAGCCAAGAACAGTGCGCATTCACATCACACTGCTTGGCTGAACAAACACCTGGGAATTAACATGGAATAGAATATAATGGAATAGAACAGAATAGAACAGAATAGAGCAGAATATAATAATTTGGCTTCAAAGTTTAAGGTGAATAAGTTAAATAGAATACATTGACTTGAATAACAATGAAGAACATAGCTGCAATGTCTTAAATGCCATTCAATGTTATAGTGAAATCACATGCTACTTCATCTACACAACATGCATAGTAAGTTCAGTGTCAACTAGTCCTGTTGGAGTATTCCAGATCAGTACAACTAGTCTGGTTGGAGGATTCCAGATCAGTGGTAACTAGTCTGGTTGGAGGATTCCAGATCAGTGTCAACTAGTCTGGTTGGAGGATTCCAGATCAGTGGTAACTAGTCTGGTTGGAGGATTCCAGATCAGTGTCAACTAGTCTGGTTGGAGGATTCCAGATCAGTGACAACTAGTCTGGTTGGAGGATTCCAGATCAGTACAACTAGTCTGGTTGGAGGATTCCAGATCAGTGACAACTAGTCTGGTTGGAGGATTCCAGATCAGTACAACTAGTCTGGTTGGAGGATTCCAGATCAGTGGTAACTAGTCTGGTTGGAGGATTCCAGATCAGTGGTAACTAGTCTGGTTGGAGGATTCCAGATCAGTACAACTAGTCTGGTTGGAGGATTCCAGATCAGTACAACTAGTCTGGTTGGAGGATTCCAGATCAGTGTCAACTAGTCTGGTTGGAGGATTCCAGATCAGTACAACTAGTCTGGTTGGAGGATTCCAGATCAGTACAACTAGTCTGGTTGGAGGATTCCAGATCAGTGGTAACTAGTCTGGTAGGAGGATTCCAGATCAGTGGTAACTAGTCTGGTTGGAGGATTCCAGATCAGTGGTAACTAGTCTGGTTGGAGGATTCCAGATCAGTGACAACTAGTCTGGTTGGAGGATTCCAGATCAGTGTCAACTAGTCTGGTTGGAGGATTCCAGATCAGTGGTAACTAGTCTGGTTGGAGGATTCCAGATCAGTACAACTAGTCTGGTAGGAGGATTCCAGATCAGTGGTAACTAGTCTGGTTGGAGGATTCCAGATCAGTGTCAACTAGTCTGGTTGGAGGATTCCAGATCAGTACAACTAGTCTGGTTGGAGGATTCCAGATCAGTACAACTAGTCTGGTTGGAGGATTCGAGATCAGTGTCAACTAGTCTGGTTGGAGGATTCCAGATCAGTGGTAACTAGTCTGGTTGGAGGATTCCAGATCAGTGGTAACTAGTCTGGTAAGAGGATTCCAGATCAGTACAACTAGTCTGGTTGGAGGATTCCAGATCAGTACAACTAGTCTGGTAGGAGGATTCCAGATCAGTACAACTAGTCTGGTAGGAGGATTCCAGATCAGTGATAACTAGTCTGGTTGGAGGATTCCAGATCAGTACAACTAGTCTGGTAGGAGGATTCCAGATCAGTGGTAACTAGTCTGGTTGGAGGATTCCAGATCAGTGTCAACTAGTCTGGTTGGAGGATTCCAGATCAGTACAACTAGTCTGGTTGGAGGATTCCAGATCAGTACAACTAGTCTGGTTGGAGGATTCGAGATCAGTGTCAACTAGTCTGGTTGGAGGATTCCAGATCAGTGGTAACTAGTCTGGTTGGAGGATTCCAGATCAGTGGTAACTAGTCTGGTAAGAGGATTCCAGATCAGTACAACTAGTCTGGTTGGAGGATTCCAGATCAGTACAACTAGTCTGGTAGGAGGATTCCAGATCAGTACAACTAGTCTGGTAGGAGGATTCCAGATCAGTGATAACTAGTCTGGTTGGAGGATTCCAGATCAGTACAACTAGTCTGGTTGGAGGATTCCAGATCAGTGGTAACTAGTCTGGTTGGAGGATTCCAGATCAGTACAACTAGTCTGGTTGGAGGATTCCAGATCAGTGGTAACTAGTCTGGTAGGAGGATTCCAGATCAGTGGTAACTAGTCTTGTTGGAGGATTCCAGATCAGTACAACTATTCTGGTTGGAGGATTCCAGATCAGTACAACTAGTCTGGTTGGAGGATTCCAGATCAGTGGTAACTAGTCTGGTTGGAGGATTCCAGATCAGTACAACTAGTCTAGTAGGAGGATTCCAGATCAGTGACAACTAGTCTGGTTGGAGGATTCCAGATCAGTGACAACTACTCTGGTGGGAGGAATCCAGATCAGTGACAACTAGTCTGGTTGGAGGATTCCAGATCAGTGGTAACTAGTCTGGTTGGAGGATTCCAGATCAGTACAACTAGTCTGGTAGGAGGATTCCAGATCAGTACAACTAGTCTGGTTGGAGGATTCGAGATCAGTGTCAACTAGTATGGTTGGAGGATTCCAGATCAGTGCAACTAGTCTGGTTGGAGGATTCCAGATCAGTACAACTAGTCTGGTAGGAGGATTCCAGATCAGTGGTAACTAGTCTGGTTGGAGGATTCCAGATCAGTGTCAACTAGTCTGGTTGGAGGATTCCAGATCAGTACAACTAGTCTGGTTGGAGGATTCCAGATCAGTACAACTAGTCTGGTTGGAGGATTCGAGATCAGTGTCAACTAGTCTGGTTGGAGGATTCCAGATCAGTGGTAACTAGTCTGGTTGGAGGATTCCAGATCAGTGGTAACTAGTCTGGTAAGAGGATTCCAGATCAGTACAACTAGTCTGGTTGGAGGATTCCAGATCAGTACAACTAGTCTGGTAGGAGGATTCCAGATCAGTACAACTAGTCTGGTAGGAGGATTCCAGATCAGTGATAACTAGTCTGGTTGGAGGATTCCAGATCAGTACAACTAGTCTGGTTGGAGGATTCCAGATCAGTGGTAACTAGTCTGGTTGGAGGATTCCAGATCAGTACAACTAGTCTGGTTGGAGGATTCCAGATCAGTGGTAACTAGTCTGGTAGGAGGATTCCAGATCAGTGGTAACTAGTCTTGTTGGAGGATTCCAGATCAGTACAACTATTCTGGTTGGAGGATTCCAGATCAGTACAACTAGTCTGGTTGGAGGATTCCAGATCAGTGGTAACTAGTCTGGTTGGAGGATTCCAGATCAGTACAACTAGTCTAGTAGGAGGATTCCAGATCAGTGACAACTAGTCTGGTTGGAGGATTCCAGATCAGTGACAACTAGTCTGGTGGGAGGATTCCAGATCAGTGACAACTAGTCTGGTTGGAGGATTCCAGATCAGTGACAACTAGTCTGGTTGGAGGATTCCAGATCAGTGGTAACTAGTCTGGTTGGAGGATTCCAGATCAGTGTCAACTAGTCTGGTTGGAAGATTCCAGATCAGTGACAACTAGTCTGGTTGGAGGATTCCAGATCAGTGGTAACTAGTCTGGTTGGAGGATTCCAGATCAGTGGTAATTAGTCTGGTTGGAGGATTCCAGATCAGTACAACTAGTCTGGTTGGAGGATTCCAGATCAGTGTCAACTAGTCTGGTTGGAGGATTCCAGATCAGTGGCAACTAGTCTGGTTGGAGGATTCCAGATCAGTACAACTAGTCTGGTTGGAGGATTCCAGATCAGTGTCAACTAGTCTGGTTGGAGGATTCCAGATCAGTGGTAACTAGTCTGGTTGGAGGATTCCAGATCAGTGACAACTAGTCTGGTTGGAGGATTCCAGATCAGTACAACTAGTCTGATTGGAGGATTCCAGATCAGTGACAACTAGTCTGGTTGGAGGATTCCAGATCAGTACAACTAGTCTGGTTGGAGGATTCCAGATCAGTGTCAACTAGTCTGGTTGGAGGATTCCAGATCAGTACAACTAGTCTGGTTGGAGGATTCCAGATCAGTGACAACTAGTCTGGTTGGAGAATTCCAGATCAATACAACTAGTCTGGTTGGAGGATTCCAGATCAGTACAACTAGTCTGGTTGGAGGATTCCAGATCAGTGGTAACTAGTCTGGTTGGAGGATTCCAGATCAGTACAACTAGTCTGGTGGGAGGATTCCAGATCAGTACAACTAGTCTGGTTGGAGGATTCCAGATCAGTGGTAACTAGTCTGGTTGGAGGATTCCAGATCAGTGTCAACTAGTCTGGTTGGAGGATTCCAGATCAGTACAACTAGTCTGGTGGGAGGATTCCAGATCAGTACAACTAGTCTGGTTGGAGGATTCCAGATCAGTACAACTAGTCTGGTTGGAGGATTCCAGATCAGTACAACTAGTCTGGTTGGAGGATTCCAGATCAGTGACAACTAGTCTGGTTGGAGGATTCCAGATCAGTCGTAACTAGTCTGGTTGGAGGATTCCAGATCAGTGGTAACTAGTCTGGTTGGAGGATTCCAGATCAGTGTCAACTAGTCTGGTTGGAGGATTCCAGATCAGTACAACTAGTCTGGTTGGAGGATTCCAGATCAGTGGTAACTAGTCTGGTTGGAGGATTCCAGATCAGTACAACTAGTCTGGTTGGAGGATTCCAGATCAGTACAACTAGTCTGGTTGGAGGATTCCAGATCAGTACAACTAGTCTGGTTGGAGGATTCCAGATCAGTGACAACTAGTCTGGTTGGAGGATTCCAGATCAGTGACAACTAGTCTGGTAGGAGGATTCCAGATCAGTGGTAACTAGTCTGGTTGGAGGATTCCAGATCAGTACAACTAGTCTGGTTGGAGGATTCCAGATCAGTACAACTAGTCTGGTTGGAGGATTCCAGATCAGTACAACTAGTCTGGTTGGAGGATTCCAGATCAGTACAACTAGTCTGGTTGGAGGATTCCAGATCAGTACAACTAGTCTGGTTGGAGGATTCCAGATCAGTACAACTAGTCTGGTTGGAGGATTCCAGATCAGTGGTAACTAGTCTGGTTGGAGGATTCCAGATCAGTGATAACTAGTCTGGTTGGAGGATTCCAGATCAGTGATAACTAGTCTGGTTGGAGGATTCCAGATCAGTACAACTAGTCTGGTTGGAGGATTCCAGATCAGTGACAACTAGTCTGGTTGGAGGATTCCAGATCAGTGACAACTAGTCTGGTTGGAGGATTCCAGATCAGTGACAACTAGTCTGGTTGGAGGATTCCAGATCAGTACAACTAGTCTGGTTGGAGGATTCCAGATCAGTGACAACTAGTCTGGTAGGAGGATTCCAGATCAGTACAACTAGTCTGGTTGGAGATTTCCAGATCAGTGACACCTAGTCTGGTTGGAGGATTCCAGATCAGTGGTAACTAGTCTGGTTGGAGGATTCCAGATCAGTGGTAACTAGTCTGGTTGGAGGATTCCAGATCAGTACAACTAGTCTGGTTGGAGGATTCCAGATCAGTGGTAACTAGTCTGGTTGGAGGATTCCAGATCAGTGGTAACTAGTCTGGTTGGAGGATTCCAGATCAGTGGTAACTAGTCTGGTTGGAGGATTCCAGATCAGTGGTAACTAGTCTGGTTGGAAGATTCCAGACTTCCTGCTTATTTCCTCCTTTTCCGGAAACCCTCAAAGCGGCATGTCTTGGAAACCTAGGAATTTTTGGAAAGTTAGCAGAATTTCGCAACCCTAGTAATATCTATGGTCTCTGTTACCTGAGCAACGGTCTCCAGTCTTGTGAAACCCAGGAAGACATTGACACACAGCATTCTCCACAACCCCTTTACAGTGGGAGTAGGCACTGCAGTTCTTACAGGCAGCAGAGACTGGAGGGAACACAATACACACCATCAGTAAAGACACCAAGCTACTGAAATACCTTTCTGGAATGAGATCACTAAATGAGATCACTAAATGAGATCACTAAATGTGAACAAGATGACAATCATCAAACCATTGATTTTATTTTTGAAAGCTTGTCTGTCCAGAACACGGTCAAAGCTGGGTTTCCCTTTAAGGACAAAACTAATGAATTACACATGTGAAATGTTCCAAAATCACATGTTTTTATGTAATCACGTGTGATCTTATTTGAAGTCAATGTGACAACATGTAAAACAACGTGATAACATGAAACTACATATGTGAAAACGTGATCAGGTGTTCCAAAAACATGTGAGGTGTTCCAAAAACACGTTTTAACATGATTTTACATGTGAAATCATGTTTTTTTTTAAACAGTCAATATCAATGGACTATATCTGGTCTGGACCACTAATGGCACCCTATTCCCTATATTGTGCCCTACTTTGACCAGGGCATATAGTACTCTGGTCAAAAGAAGTGCACTATATACAGTGAGGGAAAAAAGTATTTGATCCCTTGCTGATTTTGTACGTTTGCCCACTGACAAAGTTATGATCAGTCTGTAATTTTAATGGTAGGTTTATTTGAACAGTGAGAGACAGAATAACAACAAATCCAGAAAAACGCATGTCAAAAATGTTATAAATTGATTTGCATTTTAAATGAGGGAAATAAGTATTTGACCCCTCTGCAAAACATGACTTAGTACTTGGTGGCAAAACCCTTATTGGCAATCACAGAGGTCAGACGTTTCTTGTAGTTGGCCACCAGGTTTGCACACATCTCAGGAGGGATTTTGTCCCACTCCTCTTTGCAGATCTTCTCCAAGTCATTAAGGTTTCGAGGCTGACGTTTGGCAACTCGAACCTTCAGCTCCCTCCACAGATTTTCTATGGGATTAAGGTCTGGAGACTGGCTCTCCAGGACCTTAATGTGCTTATTCTTGAGCCACTCCTTTGTTGCCTTGGCCGTGTGTTTTGGGTCATTGTCATGCTGGAATACCCATCCACGACCCATTTTCAATGCCCTGGCTGAGGGAAGGAGGTTCTCACCCAAGATTTGACGGTACATGGCCCCATCCATCGTCCCTTTGATGCGGTGAAGTTGTCCTGTCCTCTTGGCAGAAAAACACCCCCAAAGCATAATGTTCCACCTCCATGTTTGATTTTTTATTTTATTTAGTAGACGCTCTTCCAGAGCGACTTACAGTTGCATACATTATTTATTTTTCATACTGGCCCCCCGTGGGAATCAAACCCACAACACTGGCGTTGCAAACACCATGCTCTACCAACTGAGCTACATCCCTGCCAGCCATTCCCTCCCCTACCCTGGACCAATTGTGCGCCGCCCCATGGGTCTCCCGGTCGCAGCCGGCTACAACAGAGCCTGGATACAAACCAGGATCTCTAGTGGCACAGCTAGCACTGCGATGCAGTGCCTTAGACCACTGCGCCACTTGGGAGGCCATGGTGGGGATGGTGTTCTTGGGGTCATAGGCAGCATTCCTCCTCCTCCAAACACGAGTTGATGCCAAAGAGCTGACCACAACACTTTCACCCAGTTCTCCTCTGAATCATTCAGATGTTCATTGGCAAACTTCAGACGGCCCTGTATATGTGCTTTCTTGAGCAGAGGGACCTTGCGGGCGCTGCAGGATTTCAGTCCTTCATGGCGTAGTGTGTTGCCAATTGTTTTCTTGGTGACTATGGTCCCAGCTGCCTTGAGATCATTGACAAGATCCTCCCGTGTAGTTCTGGGCTGATTCCTCACCGTTCTCATGATCATTGCAACTCCACGAGGTGAGATCTTGCATGGAGCCCCAGGCCGAGGGAGATTGACAGGTCTTTTGTGTTTCTTCCATTTGCGAATAATCGCACCAACTGTTGTCACCTTCTCACCAAGCTGCTTGGCGATGGTCTTGTAGCCCATTCCAGCCTTGTGTAGGTCTACAATTTAATCCCTGACATCTTTGGAGAGCTCTTTGGTCTTGGCCATGGTGGAGAGTTTGGAATCTGATTGATTGATTGCTTCTGTGGACAGGTGTATTTTATACAGGTAACAAGCTGAGATTAGGAGCACTCCCTTTAAGAGTGTGCTCCTAATCTCAGCTCGTTACCTGTATAAAAGACACCTGGGAGCCAGAAATCTTTCTGATTGAGAGGGGGTCAAATATTTATTTCCCTCATTAAAATGCAAATCAATTTGTAACATTTTTGACATTTGTTTTTCTGGATTTTGTTGTTGTTATTCTGTCTCTCACTGTTCAAATAAACCTACCATTAAAATTATAGACTGATCATTTCTTTGTCAGTGGGCAAACGTACAAAATCAGCAGGGGAGGCAGGTAGCTTAGTGGTTAAAAGCGTTGTGCCAGTAACCGAAAGGTCGCTGGTTCTAATCCCCGAGCCGACTAGGTGAAAAATCTGTCGATGTGCCCTTAAGCAAGGCACTTAACCCTAATTGCTCCTGTAAGTCACTCTGGATAAGAGCATCTGCTAAATGTAAAAATGGAATCAAATACTTTTTTACCCTAACTCTCCTAACCTATAACCCCTGACCCTAACTCTCCTAACATATAACCCCTGACCTTAACTCTCCTAACCCTGACCCTAACTCTCCTAACCTATAACCCCTGACCCTAACTCTCCTAACCTATAGCCCCTGACCCTAACTCTCCTAACCTATAACCCCTGACCCTAACTCTCCTAACCTATAACCCCTGACCCTAACTCTCCTAACCTATAACCCCTGACCCTAACTCTCCTAACCTATAACCCCTGACCCTAACTCTCCTAACCTATAGCCTGTAGGGGATAGGGTGCCATTCTGGTGTAAAGGAGGAGGGGGTTACCTTGGTCACACCTGGGCCCAGTGTATGGAGGCTGGCAGTAGCACTCTCCATTTCCATCAGGACCGTTGTTACACTCTCCATTCACACAGTCACACTCTGGACAACACACCAAAACAACAATGACAACGTTAGCTGACAAGTTAGAATATTCCTGGTGGAGAGAGAAAGAGAGAGAAATGGGGGGAAAAGAGAGATATAGCAGGGAGAGAAAGATAGGGAGAGAGAGAGAGAGAGATGGGGAGAGAGAGAGGGAGAGAGAGATATGGGGAGAGAGAGAGGGAGAGAGAGGGAGAGAGAGAGATGGGGGGAGAGAGATGGGGAGAGAGAGAGAGAGAGATGGGGGGGAGAGAGAGAGAGAGAGAGAGAGAGAGAGAGAGATAGGTACCTGATTTACAGTTGTCTCCGTATGAATTCTTGTTGGAACACTGCTGGCAGACAAAGCCCGTGTATCCCTCCTGACCAAGGCAACACAGTGAAACACACAGAGGCTGAGTCTTGATTCTCCACCCTTCTCCCGAAGTGTGCACTCGCACACTTTCTTGCATAGATTTGACAATGGTACACACTTCTGGAAAATGGTGGACAATTGGGAAGTAGCCAGAGAGCGGGGGGGGGAAAGCACAACATCTAAATTCAAGATTGTACTCAACATTATACACACAGTATACATTTGAGATTACACCCTGGAAATGTATACTTTACAGAGAAATCAGACATAACACTGTATCTGCCTCCCAATTCCCACAGGGCTCTGCACTACATAGGGAGTAGGGAGCCAGAAGAGTGTTAAACATGTTTAAAGTCCAGTTCTCACATTACAGACACAGGTCCCATTCCCTGATATTCCATCCATGCAGGTCCCGTGCCAGTTACAGGTCCTCCCATTCCAGCTGGGACAGGCTGCAGAAACACATATATCAGCGAATTAACATGAAACAGACTTAGATTTAGATGACTACTACAACCCCATGTTCTCTTTGTGTTTCAGTGGCTGGCACCCATTTATCATGATCTGACCCGACATAACATCATGTAATATAACATAACAGTACATTAGACAACACTACAAAACACCACTACAAAACACCACTACAAAACACCACTACAAAACACCACTACAAAACACCACTACAAAACACCAATACAAAACACCACTACAAAACACCAATACAAAACACCAATACATTCCAACTATCACTTGTCCCATAAAAAAAACGTCATGCGTGAAAATATGTTTAAAAATATCTGCTATTGGGGTAGGGTACTCACACAGACACAGAGGGCCCCAGAACTCTGCGCAGCATTTGGGCACGGTGACGGTCCTCTCACATTGGTGGTTGCAGCCTTCCAACGCCACCTGTTGCCCAGCGATGGTTACTGAGTACCTGCAACCACCTTGGCCAATGTTGGTATCCATGGGCTGGGTGGTGTACTTCTTGAAGCCCCAGGGACACTGCTGAGTCTGGGAGGCAGCACACGACGTACAGGGGGTTGTGGTCTGGTCGGCTCCGGTCTCATCACAACGGTTCATAGAGCTCTGCTGCAACACAGCAACACAGTGATCACTTCATCCCAATGTCTCCAGTGCAATATGGAGATAGATATATTGTCATCTTTTTAAACCCACAGGGCTCTGGTCAAAAGTGGTGCACTATATAGGTATTTACTTTAATTTAGGTAATTACTTCCTGAGTCAATACTTAGTGCATTCGGAAAGTATTCAGACCGCTTGACTTTTTCCACATTTTGTTACATTACAGCCTTATTCTAAAATGGATCATCATTTCTTTACTTATTTACATAAGTATTCAGACCCTTTGATATGAGACTCAAAATTGAGCTCAGGTGCATCCTGTTTCCATTGATCATCCTTGAGATGTTTCTGCAACTTGATTGGAGTCCACTTGGGGTAAATTTAATTGATTGGACATGATTTGGAAAGGCACACACCTGTCTATATAAGGTCCCACAGTTGACAGTGCACGTCAGAGCAAAAACCAAGCCATGAAGTGGAAGGAATTGTCTGTAGAGCTCTGAGACAGGATTGTGTCGAGGCACAGATCTGGGGAAGGGTACCAAAACATTTGTGCAGAATTGAAGGTGCCCACAGTGGCCTCCATCATTCTTAAATGGAAGAAGTTTGAAACCACCAAGACTCTTCCTAGAGCTGGCTGCCCGGCCAAACTGAGCAATCGGTGGAGAAGGGTCTGGCTCCTCACACCTGTCCTGTCCTGTCCTGTCCTGTCCTGTTCTGTCCTGTCCTGTAGCATACTGAATAACTACCTGCTGGCTCCACACACCTGTCCTGTCCTGTCCTGTCCTGTAGCATACTGAATAACTACCTGCTGGCTCCACACACCTGTCCTGTCCTGTCCTGTCCTGTCCTGTCCTGTAGCATACTGAATAACTACCTGCTGGCTCCACACACCTGTCCTGTCCTGTCCTGTCCTGTAGCATACTGAATAACTACCTGCTGGCTCCTCACACCTGTCCTGTCCTGTCCTGTCCTGTCCTGTCCTGTCCTGTCCTGTCCTGTCCTGTAGCATACTGAATAACTACCTGCTGGCTCCACACACCTGTCCTGTCCTGTCCTGTCCTGTCCTGTCCTGTCCTGTCCTGTCCTGTCCTGTCCTGTCCTGTCCTGTCCTGTAGCATACTGAATAACTACCTGGTGGCTCCTCACACCTGTCCTGTCCTGTCCTGTCCTGTAGCATACTGAATAACTACCTGGTGGCTCCTCACACCTGTCCTGTCCTGTCCTGTCCTGCCTGTCCTGTCCTGTCCTGTCCTGTTCTGTCCTGTAGCATACTGAATAACTACCTGCTGGCTCCTCACACCTGTCCTGTCCTGCCTGTCCTGTCCTGTCCTGTCCTGTTCTGTCCTGTAGCATACTGAATAACTACCTGCTGGCTCCTCACACCTGTCCTGTCCTGCCTGTCCTGTCCTGTCCTGTCCTGTTCTGTCCTGTAGCATACTGAATAACTACCTGGTGGCTCCTCACACCTGTCCTGTCCTGTCCTGTCCTGCCTGTCCTGTCCTGTCCTGTCCTGTTCTGTCCTGTAGCATACTGAATAACTACCTGCTGGCTCCACACACCTGTCCTGTCCTGTTCTGTCCTGTCCTGTCCTGTCCTGTAGCAAACTGAATAACTTCAACAATATAATGATCATAACGATGACCTTCTCATCAGAACACCAGACACCAGGTCTCTCATCAGAACACCAGACACCAGGTCTCTCATCAGAACACCAGACACCAGGTCTCTCATCAGAACACCAGACACCAGGTCTCTCATCAGAACACCAGACACCAGGTCTCTCATCAGAACACCAGACACCAGGTCTCTCATCAGAACACCAGACACCAGGTCTCTCTTGAAAAACTGATTTGATCTCAATGGTTCCAACTGGATAAATCAAGATTCAATAATAATATAGACAGATTTAGATGACTACTACAACCATGTTCTCTTTGTGTTTCAGTGGCTGGCACCCATTTATCATGATCTGACCCGACATAACATCATGTAATATAACATAACAGTACATTAGACACCACTACAAAACACCACTACAAAACACCACTACAAAACACCACTACAAAACACCACTACAAAACACCACTACAAAACAACACTACAAAACACCACTACAAAACACCACTACAAAACACCACTACAAAACACCACTACAAAACACCACTACAAAACAACACTACAAAACAACACTACAAAACACCACTAATGACAGACAACACTTGACTAAAACTATTACTCCATCGATTCTGTTACACTATGTCCACGCCCCAGAAGGTAACCCTTTATCCTACATACTACAGGGCTCTGGTCAAAAGGCTAAAGGGTGCCATCTAAGACACAATCTATGTTAAGATTGTCCTTGATCTCAAACCATGTCTTCAACTTAAAGCTTTCAAAGACTTCTGCTAATTTTTGTTCTCATTGATCTGACCACACTTTTGTTTGTTTTCTGTGTTCTATGGTGTGTTGTCTGTGTTCTATGGTGTGTTGTCTGTGTTCTACGGCGTGTTGTCTGTGTTCTATGGTGTGTTGTCTGGGTTCTACGGCGTGTTGTCTGTGTTCTATGGCGTGTTGTCTGTGTTCTATGGTGTGTTGTCTGTGTTCTATGGCGTGTTGTCTGTGTTCTACGGCGTGTTGTCTGTGTTCTACGGCGTGTTGTCTGTGTTCTACGGTGTGTTGTCTGTGTTCTACGGCGTGTTGTCTGTGTTCTATGGTGTGTTGTCTGTGTTCTACGGTGTGTTGTCTGTGTTCTATGGCGTGTTGTCTGTGCTCTACGGTGTGTTGTCTGTGTTCTATGGCGTGTTGTCTGTGTTCTACGGTGTGTTGTCTGTGTTCTACGGCGTGTTGTCTGTGTTCTACGGCGTGTTGTCTGTGTTCTACGGCGTGTTGTCTGTGTTCTATGGCGTGTTGTCTGTGTTCTACGTGCTAGGGTTGTCTGTGTTCTACGGCGTGTTGTCTGTGTTCTACGGTGTGTTGTCTGTGTTCTACGGCGTGTTGTCTGTGTTCTATGGTGTGTTGTCTGTGTTCTACGGTGTGTTGTCTGTGTTCTATGGCGTGTTGTCTGTGTTCTACGGTGTGTTGTCTGTGTTCTATGGCGTGTTGTCTGTGTTCTACGGTGTGTTGTCTGTGTTCTACGGCGTGTTGTCTGTGTTCTACGGCGTGTTGTCTGTGTTCTACGGTGTGTTGTCTGTGTTCTACGGCGTGTTTTCTGTGTTCTACGGCGTGTTGTCTGTGTTCTACGGTGTGTTGTCTGTGTTCTATGGTGTTTTGTCTGTGAAATCTATTATTGTATGCTTTACAGTGTTGTGTAACACCTTGAGAAATGCACTTTACAAATAAAATGTATTATTATTATTATAAACTACATGACAGAAAACAATGTCTTACTGCCTGTTGTAAACTACACGTCACCATGGTTCCCAGTGACAGCAGCAGCATCAGCGTGGTGGGTCCTGTTGACTGCATGATGTTGTCCAGTACTCCTCAGTCACACATCCAAAACAATGGGTCAATGCAGAGTAGCGCTAGGCAGGGGACACTTCCCAGTTCTAACCACATATGTGCCTCTCTCCACCGGAGACCGCGGTTCAATCCCTGTGTTGTTCCTTCCAACTGTTTCTCCCGCCTGCCTTCTGCGTCTTTCTCCCCTGTCGCTTCACAACTGTCTCAATAAAGTACCAAATAATTGTAAGAAGTAGTGGAATTCAACTGTTCTTGGCACCTCCTTCTCCTCCTCCTCCAGAACTCGGCCCTCGGAGCCCTTATCTCTGAGATTTCAGAGAGAAGAAACTCCCCAAATACCTTCCTCAATTCTGCTTCCTGATCGACTGCCTGCCTGCCTGCCTGCCAGTATGAGTTACAGACTGCAGACTACTCCAGTCAAGTTCAATGTGCCTGCTGCTGGTGAGGCAGAATGAGGTAGCTAGTCAAACTAGAACCAACCACCCAACAGTTTTAGAGAGAGGAAGGAGAAGATATGAGAAGATTAGTGTATTGTCCAACGTACACGGATGTCCAATGGAAACTTCCGCTTTATTCCAAACGGAGGGAAGAGGATTCGATAGAGTAGTTTAGTAGAGAGAGGGGTTTCAGTAGAGAGAGGGGTTTCAGTAGAGAGAGGGGTTTCAGTAGAGAGAGGGGTTTCAGTAGAGAGAGGGGTTTCAGTAGAGAGAGGGGTTTCAGTAGTTTCAGTAGAGAGAGGGGTTTCAGTAGAGAGAGGGGTTTCAGTAGTTTCAGTAGGAGAGGGGTTTCAGTAGTTTCAGTAGAGAGAGGGGTTTCAGTAGTTTCAGTAGAGAGAGGGGTTTCAGTAGAGAGAGGGGTTTCAGTAGTTTCAGTAGAGAGAGGGGTTTCAGTAGTTTCAGTAGAGAGAGGGGTTTCAGTAGAGAGAGGGGTTTCATTAGTTTCAGTAGAGAGAGGGGTTTCCAGTAGTTTCAGTAGAGAGAGGGGTTTCAGTAGAGAGAGGGGTTTCATTAGTTTCAGTAGAGAGAGGGGTTTCAGTAGTTTCAGTAGAGAGAGGGGTTTCAGTAGTTTCAGTAGAGAGAGGGGTTTCAGTAGTTTCAGTAGAGAGAGGGGTTTCAGTAGTTTCAGTAAAGAGAGGGGTTTCAGTAGTTTCAGTAGAGAGAGGGTTTCAGTAGTTTCAGTAAAGAGAGGGGTTTCAGTAGTTTCAGTAGAGAGAGGGGTTTCAGTAGTTTCAGTAAAGAGAGGGGTTTCAGTAGTTTCAGTAGAGAGAGGGGGTTTCAGTAGAGAGAGGGGTTTCAGTAGAGAGAGGGGTTTCAATAGTTTCAGTAGAGAGAGGGGTTTCAGTAGTTTCAGTAGAGAGAGGGGTTTCAGTAGAGAGAGGGGTTTCAGTAGTTTCAGTAGAGAGAGGGGTTTCAGTAGTTTCAGTAGAGAGAGGGGTTTCAGTAGTTTCAGTAGAGAGAGGGGTTTCAGTAGTTTCAGTAGAGAGAGGGGTTTCAGTAGTTTCAGTAGAGAGAGGGGTTTCAGTAGAGAGAGGGGTTTCAGTAGTTTCAGTAGAGAGAGGGGTTTCAGTAGTTTCAGTAGAGAGAGGGGTTTCAGTAGTTTCAGTAGAGAGAGGGGTTTCAGTAGTTTCAGTAAAGAGAGGGGTTTCAATAGTTTCAGTAGAGAGAGGGGTTTCAGTAGTTTCAGTAGAGAGAGGGGTTTCAGTAGAGAGAGGGGTTTCAGTAGAGGGAGGGGTTTCAGTAGTTTCAGTAGAGAGAGGGGTTTCAGTAGTTTCAGTAAAGAGAGGGGTTTCAGTAGTTTCAGTAGAGAGAGGGGTTTCAGTAGTTTCAGTAGAGAGAGGGGTTTCAGTAGTTTCAGTAGAGAGAGGGGTTTCAATAGTTTCAGTAGAGAGAGGGGTTTCAGTAGTTTCAGTAGAGAGAGGGGTTTCAGTAGTTTCAGTAGAGAGAGGGGTTTCAGTAGTTTCAGTAGAGAGAGGGTTTCAGTAGAGAGAGGGGTTTCAGTAGTTTCAGTAGAGAGAGGGGTTTCAGTAGTTTCAGTAGAGAGAGGGGTTTCAGTAGTTTCAGTAGAGAGAGGGGTTTCAGTAGAGAGAGGGGTTTCAGTAGTTTCAGTAGAGAGAGGGGTTTCAGTAGTTTCAGTAGAGAGAGGGGTTTCAGTAGAGAGAGGGGTTTCATTAGTTTCAGTAGAGAGAGGGGTTTCAGTAGTTTCAGTAGAGAGAGGGGTTTCAGTAGAGAGAGGGGTTTCATTAGTTTCAGTAGAGAGAGGGGTTTCAGTAAGTTTCAGTAGAGAGAGGGGTTTCAGTAGTTTCAGTAGAGAGAGGGGTTTCAGGTTTCAGTAGAGAGGGGTTTCAGTAGTTTCAGTAGAGAGGAGGGGTTTCAGTAGTTTCAGTAGAGAGAGGGGTTTCAGTAGTTTCAGTAGAGAGAGGGGTTCAGTAGTTTCGTAAGAAGGGGTTTCAGTAGTTAGTAGAGAAGGGGTTTCAGTAGTTTCAGTAGAGAGAGGGGTTTCAGTAGTTTCAGTAGAGAGAGGGGTTTCAGTAGTTTCAGTAGAGAGAGGGGTTCAATATTTCAGTAGAAGGGTTTCAGTAGTTTCAGTAGAGAGAGGGGTTTCAGTAGAGAGAGGGGTTTCAGTAGTTTCAGTAGAGAGAGGGGTTTTCAGTAGTTTCAGTAGAGAGAGGGGTTTCAGTAGTTTCAGTAGAGAGAGGCGTTTCAGTAGTTTCAGTAGAGAGAGGGGTTTCAGTAGTTTCAGTAGAGAGAGGGGTTTCAGTGTAGTGAGAGAGGGGTTTCATAGTTTCAGTAGAGAGAGGGGTTTCAGTAGTTTCAGTAGAGAGAGGGGTTTCAGTAGTTTCAGTAGAGAGAGGGGTTTCAGTAGTTTCAGTAGAGAGAGGGGTTTCAATAGTTTCAGTTGAGAGAGGGGTTTCGATAGTTTCAGTAGAGAGAGGGGTTTCAGTAGAGAGGTTTCAGTAGAGAGAGGGGTTTCAGTAGTTTCAGTAGAGAGAGGGGTTTCAGTAGTTCAGTAGAGAGGGGTTTCAGTAGTTTCAGTAGAGAGAGGGGTTTCAGTAGTTTCAGTAGGAGAGGGGGTTTCAGTAGTTTCAGTAGAGAGGGGTTTCAGATAGTTTCAGTAGAGAGAGGGGTTTCAGT